ATCAATCACAGAGTGGAAAATCAATCACAGAGTGGAAAATCAATCACAGAGTGAAAAATCAATCAAAGAGTGAAACATCAAACAAAGTGAAAATCAATCACAGAGTGAAACATCAATCACAGAGTGGAAAACCAATCACAGAGTGAAACATCAATCACAGAGTGGAAAATCAATCACAGAGTGAAACATCAATCACAGAGTGAAACATCAAACAAAGTGAAAATCAATCACAGAGTGAAACATCAAACAAAGTGAAAATCAATCACAGAGTGGAAAATCAATCTCACCGCCTGAGGATGACCGTCCCGATGTTGCTCTGAGCGGAGGCCGGATAGAAGAAAGACTTCTGTTTGCTTAGGCGGAGAAGTCCATCAACTAACTGCTGCTTCTGCGTGCCAGAACCGCCCAGGTGGAAAGTCTTAGCAAGAGCTTTAAGTTCAGGAGCCGGCAGGAGATCCAGAGCCTCCCCAAGGTCCTCCAGGTCCTCCTCTTCGATGCATTAACACAAGCAGACAGTGATGCATTTAAAAACATGTGTTTCTGTTCTGATGCAGCAGAGTGAATATTTGTTTGACTTATTTACCGGTCTGTAGAAAACCACTCTGAACCAGTTCCTGTGCTACAGGTCCCAGATTACAGCAGATCTCCTCATAATCCAGTTTATGAACCTGAAGCCATCTCAGTTTCCTCTGAAAGAGCCTCACATACAGCTTCTGAGCCACGACTGCACGAGATAAAAACAAATGATTCATTCATTTTTGTCATTTGTCACTTTTTCTTAAACCGCTTAATCAACTGCTGCATGAACGCACCTGACAAGCGCTCAAACGCGTGCACAGCCGACATGTCGTCCTGGCTGAACAGAGCCCTGTCGTCCTCGTTCTCCAACACAGCGTGCAGCACGGTGCAGAAGTTACGGAGGTAGTAGGGGAGTGAGGACGTATTGGAGCTCTGGTTCTCCGCAGCACCAGATCCTGGCCCTGAATCTCCGTTGATCCCTGCAACGTTTTGTTGACAGGTCTCTTCTGAAGTCACATCTGGACCACAGGAAGAAGAAACCTCAGTTTCACGCTGATTCACGTTAGTCGTCTCTATGCTTTGACAAGATGAAGCCTGCTCCGGCTCCACACCTTTCTCCTCATATTTTGATTTCTTTTGGAAACCAAGTGCTCGGCCACCCTTTTTCCTCTTCGTTAGTTTGGAAGGACTGGGCTGGTGTGACGTTGATGCTTTGTGTCCTGTTTCTGAACATGATGGAGCGTCCACACTGGAGGATAGGACTTCCTCGTCTTCTAATCTCGGGATCAGAACATTTTCCTTCTGAGAGCTACTGAGCGTCTCCCTGGGATTGTCCTCTGTGGGTCGTCTCTCAGGTGTGTTGTGATGTTTTCTGGATAACTTGGAGGACAGACTTCCTAACTCAATGGTCCTGACCACAGACTTGTTTATCTCCAGTGGTGTCTGCTCACAGATACTGGTTTTGAAATATGGGCTCGTTTTTGTTCCTCTTGTTTCCACTTTGTGATCCAGCTCTGGAGACTTTGGGAGACTGCTTCTAGGTGGCACCTGGCTGTTTGACACGACATGAGAACTTCCTGAAGGGCTGTCTCCCCTCTCAAAGTTGTGACACTGCAGGTCGATGTGCTCATTGATCCGGAACCTGGGGACCAGCAGGCCGCACAGGGGGCAGGCCAGCTCCGGTGGGGGCCGGCTGCTGAAGAACGACGTGATTGTGGTGCTGCTGGCAGAACTTCCAGCTTCCACCTTCTTCTTCTTGGACAGAGACAAGCTCCGCTTCAGTTTGTCCCCCCGGAAGCTTTCTGTCATCTTTAAAGCGGTGAAACTCGGTCAAAACGAGGTTTTCCGAGCGCTTGTTGTTGTTGCATACTTCACGAAGAATAAAATGTTGAGAGAAGCTCGATTACATTTGAGGAAAATAATAATAAAATAAAATAAAAACATAAAAACGACAAATTTACGACCTGGTAAGCGTGTTGCTAGCAGCTAGCAGCAGCACTGATGACAACAATCCCGCCGCTTCTCAGGCATCACCAATGGAGTGCAGATGTGTCGGAACTGAGCTCCATGTACCGGCTCATTCTCGCGAACAATCATGTGGTTCTTGTTCGAGAGCCTTTAATTTTATATATATATATTTTAAATGTGCTGTCTGTCTGTATTTTGTTATATACAATACTCAATAAGATGCAAACTGCACTGCTAAGCTAAAATCATTACAAGACTAGAGATGTGACGTTCGTGAACGATCCGGATTGTTTGAACGGCTCTTTACAACGAACGATAAGAACAGAGTTGCTGAGAGTACAAAGTCATTCCTAGTTTTATTTTTTCCTCCTCCTAATTTTTTTTAAATGTTATTCTCTTCAGTCCCATAGACAAATGCTTCTCCTTTGTTTTTTCACTGAGAAAAAGGAAGCCAGGTAAAGGGGAGAAGTGCGCGGGGGTGGGCGTGTCTAAATGCTAAATCTCATGGTTGTACCACATGGCCCTGACAGGATTAATTTGAGCCAGATCTTGTCGGAACAGGATCCAGGAACTCCCTTTTATTAACAGGGTGTGTTCCAGTAACTGTTTGCTTGGATCCAGTAACTCTCAGGCTTAATAATAATATGAACAAATATGACTGCCTTGAATATAAAACCTATATTGGATATGTAATCTGAAAATAATTACATAAATACTAATTTTAAAACAGAACAAGCTTCCTAATATCACATCAGAGCTGTCGCTTCACAGTTCCACTTCTGCTCTTTAAAAAATCTCAGCCCCTAAAAGTTCAAAGTCATGGGCAATTTTATTGAAAAAAAACTCAAAAATATAATTAAAGTTTTGTGCTATACGCATAAGTTCCTGTGCTTTTGTGAACAACCTGATGTGTGGATCACTGCAGGAGTTATCTGAACTTTCACTGAACTGCAAAAGAGAGACCATGGTCTCGGCTCATAAAGCTGTTTGTTGTGCAGTCAGAGTATTTGAAGCGATGGCGGAGTGACCAGGACATTTCTCTGAATTGAGAGGAGGATTGAGAGCAACTCTTTTCTAAGCCAGCGACAAAGCGCTAAATACTGTAGTCAGTTTTTGTTGTCCCAGGGTGGGCGCCTGCCTGACAAAAGCCCTATGATCATTTTACTGAGGAGCTGCAGGTGGTTTATCTACAGGCCTGAGGACGCAGATGTCAAGAGACTGACAGACTGAGGTCGAGTCGCTCTGTCTGTGCGTCAACATAGACTGTCCCCACCTTAGAGTCACCAAAATATGGAATAAATATTGAATAAATGGCAGCATGCAGTTAAACGGGCCTGTAAAACTCTATGATTATTATTATTTTTTAATTATTATTATTTTTGCAGTAGTCAGATCCTCGACCCACCTGTCAATCAATCCCGTCAGCAGCTGACCAGTCAGCAACCTCAATTTGTCCTGAAGTGAACGCCCCTTACCTGCAGAGCTGCAGCGCTGTTGCTTTATGAACGCTTTGCAATCATGGAGGTTTTAATAATAACAGAGTTTACATCTTTTGTTTCATGTTAATATACTGTAATAAACCTTTGTAAAATACACCAGAATGCAGAAAATGGTATCTACTTTAATCAAAATTCTCTGGGGGAGGACCCCCCGACTTTAAGTGGCATTATAGTTGACTTCTCTGACTTGGAACCAAGATATTCTGGCTTCAGATTACAACTAAAGCACACCACAATCAAGAATGAAAACAAACCAAACAAAATCAATCAGATAAAAATAGAAGGGAATAGCAGTGCAACAGAAAGTGATAAAGTTGGTGCACAGCAGAGACTGAAAGATAATATATATATTTTTTTTTCAATCAAACATTAGATACAAAAACTATTGAATTCAAAGCATATATCATTTTGAAATGTATCAGTATTCTATATGTTTATGCACACATATTAATAAAATACCAAAACTTAAATACAAGAGCTCCAAGCTGTTTGACAGTGGAAAACATCTGGTTCATGAGGAGCCAAATGACGCGGCTCATAAAAAAGAAACGGAACTCCCACTTACAAAACCGGAAGATGTTTTAAGTGTTCAAAATCGATCCCAGATAAATCGATCCCCCCCCCCCCCCCACACACACACAAAAGAAACAATGACTTTTTGAATCGTATATAGAAATGTTTGTTTACTTTCATGCACACGTGTTTTAAAGTTCATACCACATATAAGTAAGGGGAAAAGCACAATCTGCGTATTTATTCACAAATGTACCAGGACATGACGCAGGAAATATATATATATATATATTTAAGCTTTACTTGGCATAATCAGGGTTTTTGTGTGCTCTAAATATTTATGGAAGTGTTTCTAGTTTAAATCAAAGTGCGATTGATTATTATTATTATCTACACAGGTTCCTGGGCGGCTGCGGTGGCTTTTATTCACCCCCTCCCCTCCTGTCCCCTCCTCAATCTCATCTGATCAACACATGCGGGCGTCTGCACAAAGAGGGCCGCCCACCGTCCTCATGTCGGTAAGTGGCGCACACATGTACCTATGTGGAGGCTTGCGGGGTTGTGATAGGGACGCATGTGGAGGTGTTGGTCTTTGTCATGGCGGAGCTGGAGGCTGGATGCGGTGCTGAGCCGCATCTTCATGTCCCGCAGCCTCGATGCTTCAAATCAAGGTCGATGTGAAACGCAGCATCAGCATCAGGATCTCACTCCGACTGTAAACCTATGAGTGAGAGCTGCATCATCTGAGTGCACCACACACAAAGGAGGAAACCGTATATCAGATTATCTTATCGACATGTAGGATATGCAGCGGGGCCCCCCCACAACAAGCACCCCTGCAGGCTGCGGTAAGAAGTTCAGTGGTGGCTTTCATACCATCCAAACCACGTCAAGGGCAGTACAGATGCATGAAAGCTGCACCAGGGAGCCCACGATAAACCCAGTTGGTTTAATTTTCAGTTCAGCACCACGGAGAGGTCATGATTAGGTCTGCATGCAGGGATTATAAGGTTTTTATAAATGATGAGGCCATAATCCGATGTGATCAATGCAGTGTGTGCACCTTATCCTGAGCTGTTGTTTTGTTCACTCAAAAAGCCTAAATGCTTGGATGAGGGTGTGACATGTTTCTCGTGGGCTTGTCCAGTGGCTCCATCACTCCGAGCAGACGCTTCATCACAAACAGATGTGACCGAGAGACGCTGGACCTGATGGATCCTCAGGGTTTTACACAGAAAAATCTAAACATTTCATAAATATATGATACTTGTATGTTTCATTTGTTATAAAATATAATAATAAAAGCAAGTGCTACTGTTAGATGTGGATATTGTTCAATGTTAACTAATAACATGTCGACTTTCTGAACTAAAGTTAAAAAAAGAAAATCTAACAAAAACTGAGTTTTTTTTTTTAAAGACAGGGATTGTTGACTTTAAGCAATGAGAAATAGGAAGTAAAACACATAAATAAATAAAGTTTTAGTGTATTTTTGTGCTACCTGTTTGGGTTTACTGTAATAAATTGGGTGTGGCTCATAAGTAAATGGGTCTTAAATTTTGGATTATTTGTGTTTTTGTAATTTTGTTACATTCTGCTTTAGTCCAGATCAAGTATCTACTAAAAACATTAATATGTCAAAAGTTGATTAACAGACAGAGGTCCTGGGTCATAGATATGAGGGTCAAAGAAGTCTGGATCAGTCGAAGCAGTTTTACTTCAGGTTTTTGTCAAAACTAAATGAGGACGGACTCTGAAAACAGACTGTTTGTGTAAAACATGATAAATGAGGGGTGCTAAAGCCCATCGTGAGCATCTTTGATCCTGAATCAACAATTGTTTTTGTCTTCTTCCTTTTAATATACAGAATAAAAAGGGTCGGATAAATAAACTTTATTTAAATTCATCTGTTAGGTACATATCTGCTTAAAAAAGAAAAAAGCTGCTGTGTTAAGATGTTAAAAGCTAAATGGAGAAGAAGTGTCTTAAAGTAGCAAGAGCCTAGCTAAAAGAATGAAAAGACTAAATAAAAGCTTAAAATAGTAGAAAAGATAAAAGTGGCAGTTGTTGTTTTTTATAGCTGCTGCCTTCTGAAGGGGTCGCCACAACGAGCGAACTCGCACAAAAGAGTTGTCAATTGTTTTACACTGAATGCTGTTCCTGGCTAAACCTGGCCTCGAACCCACAGCCTCAGCATTATGAGGCTGTGGCACTGACCACTGAGCTACCGCATCCCCCCAAACACTAAATGTAGCATCTAAGAAGGCCAAGGCCACATATGCACAGAGGATCGAGGGTCAATTCACCTCACAAGACCCACAGAGCATGTGGAGGGGCATTAAGTGCTTAACAGATTATAAAGGAAGGAGTGAACAATACCCCAAAGACCCATCTCTGCCTGATGCCCTCAACAAGTTCTATGCACACTTTGGTCACCCAGCACCAGACTCACCTCACCACCGGATGAAGAGCATCTCAGCGTGACCTCAGCAGAAGTAAGGAGTACCTTCAGGAGGATTAATCCACACAAAGCAACTGGCCCAGACAACATCCCCGGAAAAGTGTTGAAGGAATGTGCCGATCAGCTCTGCGAGGTGCTGGCAGACATCTTTAACACCTCACTTACCCTGGAGACAGTTCCCACCTACCTGAAGACTGCCACCATCATCCCAGTTCCTAAAAGCTCTACAGTGACTGGTCTGAATGACTATCGGCCAGTGGCCCTCACCCCGATAGTCGCTAAATGCTTTGAAAAACTGGTCACAACTCACATAAAAACAAACATCAATGAGGACCCTCATCAGTATGTATACCATGATAACCGATCAACAGAGGATGCCATCTCCTCTGTGGTCCACACTGCTCTCACCCACCTGGAGCAGGACTCTTACGTCCATATGCTCTTTGTGGACTTCACATCCTCCTTCAACACCATGATCCCCCAAACCCTGATGGACAAACTATTCACATGAGGACTAAGCCCCTCCATTTGCAACTGGGTACTAGACTTCTTAACAAACAGACCACAGTTAGTGAGGATCCACAACCTCTCCTCCTCCACCATAACACTCAGCACTGGCTCTCCTCAGGGATGTGTGTTGAGCCCCCTCCTGTTTACTCTGCTCACGTATGATTGTGCAGCTACCCATCCAGGCTGTCACATTGTAAAGTTTGCAGATGATACAGCAGTGGTGGGATGCACCACAAACAATGATGAGTCCAGCTACAGGCGGGAGGTGGAACACCTGGAGAGCTGGTGCAAAGAGAATAACCTTCACATCAATGTGAAGAAGACAAAGGAGATGATTGTGGACTTCAGAAGGAACAAAAACACCTACACCCCCCTGAACATAAAAGGATATGTGGTGTAAGTGGTCTCCAGCTACAAGTACTTGGGTGTACATATGAATGACAACCTCAGCTGGAGCAACAACACCACCAGCCTGATCAAGAAAGCTCATCAGAGACTCTACTTCCTCAGACGGCTGAGGCGAGCTGGTCTGGGAAGCTCAGTCCTCACCTCCTTCTACAGGTGTGCAGTGGAGAGCATCCTGTGCTCCAGCATCAATGTGTGGCATGGAGGCTGCACAGCTGCAGAAAGAAAAGCTTTGCAGAGAGTGGTGAAGGCTGCACAGAAGACTGTCGGAGTCAGACTCCCCACCACCACAGACATTTACACCTCCAGATGCAGGAAGAGGGCCACCTGCATCATGAAGGACCACACTCACCCAGCACACACACTTTTTGCCCCACTCCCCTCAGGAAGGAGGTTAAGGAGCATTAAGTGTAGAATCACTAGACTGAGGAACAGCTTCTACCCTGAGGCTGTTAGACTCATGAATCTCTAACTAGAATAATCACTGTGAAAAACCACATCATGTTGCTGCTGATCTGTTTCATGTTGCTGCTGATCTGTTTCAATGTTGACGTGTTCATGCGTGCACATCTGCTCACACAGACTCATGTTCATGTTTGTGCTGATGTTCAATGTTTTATGTTATGAGTGCTTATTGTATATTTAGTTGATGTTTTTCTTAGTTCATATCTTAGATGTTATTACTATTTTTCTTTTACATTTTATTGTTGGATGTAACTGGGACCCTGTGTACATAATTTCGCTCCACCACATGTACCACATGAGGTGCGAATGACAATAAAGAAACTCTGACTCTGACTCTAAAAAAGTTGTTTTTTTGAATGTCCAGAGGACCAGATTTAACTTTTTTAGATTTTTCTACTTGGATTATTGAGCTTGCATCAGGACTAAATGTAGCAGTACTGTAGTTAAAAGTAGCACAACATTGGCTAAACAGTAGCAAATGAGTACTCAAAAGTAGTAGAACGGTAGCCAATAGCTAAAGTACCAAAAGTCTAGCTAAATGTTAAAGTTGGCAGAACAAAATATTAAAGCTAAAAGTACCAAAACAGTAGCTAAAAAAAAAAAAAAATGAGAACGTACGCTGAAGCAGAAGAATGCAGTATTTTTGAAAGTGTAGAGCTCTTAATGTAGTTCTATAGGATAAATACTTGTACATAAATATCTTTTTTAAATATCAAAGTTACAAAAAATATAAATCATAGTACCTTTCTTCTGAATTATTGAATGTTTTGTCTGAAACCCAGAGTATGCAGAAGCAGCTAGCTTGCAATAGTATACAGGAAAATAAACAGGAAAACAATGATTGACTCGGTTTAGTTGTCTCAAATAGTTTCTACTTCAAACCACATTAAATGTATTTTTTTCCTAACTTTTTACACAGAATGAGAGTATTTTACTGTGTGAATGATGTTCTGTTCAAAAAGTCACATGGCGGTTTACAGTGTTCTGTGAAAACGTGTCCATGTTTGTCTTTTCACAGGGTTTAAGGTAGTGGATTTAAGGGGCCAGTTATGGCTCATGGGAAACAGCCCGGAACCATTTCCAGGATTCTGGCTGTCAGCCCTCCGTCGTGCCCCGGGGTCGGACTTACAAGAGCGGGCCAAGAACAGCAGCAGGGCTCGGTTAAAAAGGCGACGCAGCAACCACCTTGTTCCTTGAAGGATGACGGCGGCGAGCAGCTGACTCCTCCTGTGTCTGCAGCGCACCTGTACACCAGCTGTGACCCGGGCCCCGAGGACATGCAGGACGCCGGCTCCGAGTACGACAACGTGAGCTCCGACGTCGAGCAGGACTACGATGAGGTGCTGCACCTGAATGCCAGCTTCTACAAACAGCACTTTCCTGAGGATGTAAAGCACACAGGAGGTGAGAATGTACCTGAGAGCTCTGCAGCCGACCCCATCACACCCAGGTCATGCCATGGCACCAAAAAGTGCGAGGGATCACAATCAGATGCCAAACTGCACAAGGCTGGTCACCGCTTTATGTCTCGTTGTGCAGTGGTTGCTGCAGACGAAGCAGAGGAGGGAGTGAAACTGGTCCAGGGGGACAGGCTCCTCCTCAGTGATGGAGAGGAGTTAGAGAAGGTGCTGGATGGAGCTCAGTTCATGGAGGACTTGGCTCAGACGGAGACTGCTCAGAGGCCGGGCGGCCTCCACCAGCCCAGTGAGAATAAAAAAGTCAAAAAGGGAAGTCAGGAACGAAAAAGGGAGGAGGAAACACGAGCCACAAGACACCACAATGCTCCAGGAGCTGGGAAGAAGGGTGAGCCATCCTGCGGGGGTCCGAAGGAGAATGAGCGGCAGGGTAAAGGACGAGGGAGGAGGGGGGCAGGAGGAGAAACTGAGCACACTGTTCCTGGGATCAAAGGGTGTGGGACCAACAGCGCCGAGCAGCGTCCAAAGACTTTGTCCAAGGACTGCAAAAAGTCTGCAGTCAGGTCCAAGGACAGGTCTGGTTCCAGTAAGCACCATCATCCTCCTCCACCGCCCCACCGTCCTCCTCCTCCTCAGTCACCTCCAGGCTCTCAGAAGGCCCTGCCCCAGAGGGAGAGTCCTCCTGCATCCAGTCCCTCCACTGCTGTCAGCCAGGAAATCCAACCTGGGGCGATGAAACCATCTCTGGATCCTCATCACACGGCAGAACAACAGGAGGAGTCCCCCGAGGAGACGCCGAGAGGGCTGGAGAAACCCGAGCAGGTAAGGAAGGCAAACGGAGCTAGTCTTCTTTCAGATCTAATCTGGACTCTCATGTGTGGCCATTCAAGAGCCGCTGCGCCTCAGAGCGGATTCAATCACATTTCACAGAAAACAAACTGTTCCAGGGTGTTGTCTTGTGTGTGTGTGTGTGTGCAGGATGAGGAGCTGAGCACAGCCATGACGCCTGAGGAGGAGCAGGAGCTGCAGAGGAGGCCTCCCTGTCCGGAGTTCGTCTCTGCAGAGGACAGCAACTCTCCCAAGGTGGAGATTTGTTTTACAAAATAGGTCAAAGAGGAGATCCAGCAGCTTTAAGATTCACTGTCTGCCATGTAAACTGGTTTTACTGGAAGTCACCACTTTGAGTTAAATGTACAATTATTGCTTATTTCACGTCCACGGATCATTTTGTCTTCTAGTTTAATAATACTTTTATTCTTTTTAAAGGAAACACAAGAAGCTACTTCTTTTCCCAGCTTTGAAGATGGTAAATATCTTTAAATATTCTTGAATGTTACTCTTTAAATACACGTGTCTTGACTGTTCAGCGTTTTGTTTCGGGGCCCAGTTCCAGGTCCCTGCGAGCCGGAGGACCTCATTGACGGGATCATCTTCGCTGCTAATTACCTCGGATGCACTCAGGTGTTGTCTGATAAAAACCCGTCCAAGTCGGTCCGAATGTCGCAGGCCCACGAAGCCGTCAGCCACATCAAGGTAGTCCACCTTCAGCCAAATGAGCCAGATCAGCTGTTTGTTTTTAATATCACCACAGGGTCCAACACTTGTCAGAAACTCACCTTACGTGAATGTTTTCATGTGACTTTTGAGAGTTAAACGTGGTTTTAAGATTAGGGATTGGATTTAGAATTTTGAATTGATTTATTTTCCCAACAGTTGAGATGCTTAGGTCTGTCGCAGTAAACAATAAATCAACTAATCGCACGATGAATGAAAATTATCAACTCATTTTCATTTATCAGCTTTATCGTTTCGTCGTGTCTCTCTTTCTACTGAAGACACTGGATGACAAAAGGCTCAACTCCAGTGCTCTTCACTGACCCCTCCCTTTTTCGTTTTGCTTTAAAATTTGTTTTAACGATCCAAAAATCACGTTTTTGGATCATTAAAAGCAGCTAAGCTGAGAAGCTAAGCTACGAGCTAAGCTAACAGGCCGACCTCGGGGAAAAAACCTCCGTCTTGTCGAAGCTCCAAAATTCACAGTTGAAACCTGTGCCTTTGTGTAAAAAGTTGTTTTTCTCTACAAAAAGAAGCTGAGAACTTGTTTACTGATTTTTTTTTTTTTTTTTTAATTAAAAGCTTTGTGTGACAAATGCTATGCTAAAGAGCTCAAACCACACCGGGTGTCCACCATTTTGAGAAATGGATAAAAAAGGAAGGAGAGACACCGCCGACCCCCGTGACCCAAAATGGAATAAGCGGGTAAAGATAATGGATGGAGACAGCCCATGTCACGTCAAGGGGCCTCCCTCCCATTTTTCTTAAAGAGACACACTTCTCGATCCCTCACTATCCATCCTTCAGTTCAAACAGTCTTATACTGCCATCCAATGATCACAAAAGGTACTACACACAAAACCAATCAACATTTCTTCTTAAATTTGACAATAATTACTAATTATTGTCAAATTTTAAATGATATTATCGTTTATCACAATAATTTCTGAGACGATTAATTGCCCATCAAGATTTGTTATCGTGACAGGCCTAGAGATGCTCGCCACCTTCTGCTCATCCTCCAAATGTGTCTCGGTAATGAGCTAACAGTTTGTATAAAGCATCCTGATTAAAGTTGTTTCTTTTGCAGAGCCAGAATGAAGAGTCTCAGATGATGACAGAAGTGGACCTCTTCATCTCCACGAAAGCTGTTAAAGTACTGAACGCTGACACGCAGGTCAGTGCTTCTCAGAGCATTCTGTGAAGAGTCAGCCTTTTGTTTTTAACAACGATTTGAAACCTTTCCGCTGATTTTGTTCCCTGTCTTCAGGAGACGATGATGGACAGTGCCTTGCGGACCATCTCCTACATCGCTGACATCGGCAGCATCGTGGTTCTGATGGCACGGAGGCGCATGTCTCAGGCCTCATCGGAGGATTTCTCTGAATCGTCCGACTCCAACAGCGAAGGGAAGAGTCAGTACAGAATGATTTGCTACATCTTTGAGTCAGAGGATGTAAGTGCTGCTGTCTGTGTCACACATCTCGTTTAGTCTGTGGCTGCTCAAAGCATTTATAATCTTTCATTCATTCTTGTTGCGGTCATGTTGGATAGGTTTTCAGTTTCCCTCTCCACATGCTCCTCTCTAACAGGCCCAGCTGATCGCCCAGTCCATTGGCCAGGCTTTTAGCGTGGCCTACCGAGAGTTCCTGCGAGCCAACGGCATCAACCCGACCGACCTGAGCCACAAACAATACAGCGACATCATCAGCTCCCAGGAAATGTACCACGATGACCTCGTTCATTTCTCAAACTCTGAGAACTGCAAAGAGGTGAGCCAAGCTGTGCGTAGATTCAACGAAAGAAATGACTCCATCTGAAATATCCAGTCCTTTGGACCTCAGTGCTGCTTGTTGATGTGTGCACCAGCTGCATGTGGAGAAGCAGAAAGGCGAGAGCCTCGGTGTGGTGATAGTGGAGTCCGGCTGGGGCTCCATCCTGCCCACCGTCATCCTGGCCAGCATGCTGAACAGTGGCCCCGCCGCTCGCTCCGGAAAACTCAGCGTCGGGGACCAGATCATGTCCATCAATGACACAAGTCTGGTGGGGCTGCCGCTGGCTACCTGCCAGGGCATCATCAAGGTAAGGAAAACACCAGGCACATCCAGTCACTCCTTAAACACGCTTTTAATCTGAAATCACGTAACTCAGGTAAATATGAATCAGGTGCATTTTAATGAGCTGTACAGGAGACATAAGTTGCACAAAATGAATTGTGCACAAATCTGCTATAGTTTCTGCTGATCTTCTTAAAGAAGATGTGGATAAAACTGGTGTCTGCAACCTGTGCCTCTGGAGCCACATCTGGATCTTCAGACCCTCTGATGTGGCTCCCTGTAACTTGGACTACAACATGAACCTGAGTGAACCTGAGTGACGTTTGCATCTAAACTTACCTGTTCAAACATTTTGCAGCAGAATTGCTTTAATTCTAAAGTGGGTTGGGCTTCCTTTGTGAACTCGGGCTATTAATGGACATTAGTTGACATATCAGTTATTATACATGCACTGCGTGCACTGTTTTCTACAAAGTATCATTTCATCAGCAGAATCAGCTAAATATGTCTTATATTTTCACTAGAACATCTGGGTAATACCAGATGGCTAGGCCTCAGACTGACGAAGCCTCTTGGATGAGGGGCGAAACGTTTCTTTTTAACAAAAAAACGAAGTCCAGATGACATGATTCAACCTTTTTTGTTGTTATATACCTGGATGACTGAGAAAACAAACTTTGTGTCTGTGATCTGTTGTATTGTTGAGGCTATACTGTAGTTTGTCTCCATTATGTTTTTGAAACTCTTTTACATGCAGTCATCTTCCAAATCCACCAGAACATTTATATTTTTCAACATGTTTAAGACAAACTGATGAAAATGCAGGAATTAGTTTTTCACATCATTTGCGCAATGTAGATTTTAATGCATTGAAATACGACGTCTTGGAAGCATTCAGCTAAGTTTCTTTAGGATTGTGGAAACGAAATACAAAGGTCTGCCTCTGATGAAAGATTTAACAAAGTGCATGAAGATTGTCTTTTTGAGGATTTACAGAGGTTCCTGAATGCTTCATTTTACTATAAGTCAAGTTGATGTGTTTGTCTATAGGAAGGACTCAGTCCGGTCTTTATTCTAAACAAGAAAGCATCAAAATCCTGTGGGTTTTATTCTAAACATTTTAAAAAGTACAGTTTAACATCACAACATAAACTGTAGTTTTATTTATAATACATAGAATATCATAAAAATCATCATAGTATGTTTATTTTTTAAGAGCCAAGAAGTGTTTTCTGCTTTACTAAACTATTTTTGTAGGAAACATGATTGAAATGACTTTTTTAAACATAAAGGTTGCAGACCTTTAATAAATTAACAAACTAATGGAAGTTTAGTCATAAAACGACATCATCCTGTGAGTTCTTTGATTTACATGATCATCATAAACACGGTTAAAACATTTCAAAGCTTGTTTTCTTAGTTTGCTGCTACTTTGCTTCAAATCCACTGGCTCTTACTATAATGTGATTCTCATTATAAACTCAATAAACTTCTCCTGGTTTGTGATTAAATTTGACCGAGGCCTCAGGGTTTGACCCATGGGCAGCAGGAGGGTTGTCACAGCTAAAATAAGCTAATTAATGCTGTTTTAAGCTGTTTCTGGTCGTTTTAAATGGCAGCATTTGACTCCAGGGTTTAAAGAATCAGGTGAAGGTAAAGCTGAGTATCGTGAGCTGCCCTCCCGTCACCACAGTCCTCATCAAAAGACCCGACCTCAAGTTTCAGCTTGGCTTCAGTGTTCAGAACGGCATCGTAAGTAAACCCAGTCGTGAAGCAGAAGGTCTTCATGGTGAAAGTGGCCCACTGACCTTCAGTCCTGCTGGGTTTCAGATCTGCAGTCTGATGCGTGGAGGCATTGCTGAGAGAGGCGGCGTTCGCGTCGGACACCGGATCATTGAAATTAACGGTCAGAGCGTTGTTGCTATGGCACACGAGAAGATTGTTCAAACCCTGTCTGTCTCCGTGGGTGAGGTAAGGGCTCATGGTGACGCAGCACCACACAAACACGCCGACATGCAGACGGTGCTCGCAGACCGGGACCGGTTCAGAGCAGTTTGACACACAAGTGAAACAACATGTATTTTATTTTTAAAATGGCAGATAAAAATATAGGCTATTTGTAATTTCAGTTACTTTTAGGAAATTTATTTATTTCACCGAGTGCAAATCTTCAAACTAAAGTACTTTGTCAATGACTTCAAGTATTTATTTATTAGGTAAAGCACAAATCTTGCAAACATAAGAAAACCCAATAGTTTAAGAAACAGATTCTACGTCCAGTAGTTTTTCTGTGGCGCTACAACAAACTGACCAGTCTTTTTCAAAGCCCTGCAACATCCAACAACACGGGACAGGAAACAATCTGCTAAACTTTAAAGATAAGAGGAAAGAACAGCTACTTCATCACAGAAGTCAAATGAAACTGTCCTAATTTTATGATAATGCTGGATGCACACATATGCACACATATATAAAACATGCTGCATGTTTCATACTACCATCACTACTGTGGGCTACACAATCATGGGGAAGACTGTTGACTGAAAGTTGTCCAAAAGACGACCATTGACACCTTGCGCAAGGAGGGCAAGACACAAAAGGTCATTGCTAAAGAGGCTGGCTGTTCACAGAGCTCCGTGTCCAAGGCGAAGGGAAGGAAAAGATGTGGTAGAAAAAAGTGTACAAGCAATAGGGATAGCTGCACCCTGGAGAGGATTGAGAAACAAAACCCATTCCAAAATGTGGGGGATATTCACAAAGAGTAGACTGCAGCTGGAGTCAGTGCTTCAAGAACCACCACGCACAGACGTATGCAAGACATGGGTTTCAGCACTTCTGACACTGTCTCATTCCTTGTATCAAGCCACTCTTGAACAAGAGACAGTGTCAGAAGTGTCTCACCTGGGACTGCTGCTGAGTGGTCCAAAGTTATGTTCTCTGATGAAAGTACATTTTGCATTTCCTTTGGAAATCAAGGTCCCAGAGTCTGGAGGAAGAGAGGAGAGGCACAGAATTCATGTTGCTTGAGGTCCAGTGTCAAGTTTCCACAGTCAGTGATGGTTTGGGGGTCATGTCATCTGTTGGTGTTGGTCCACTGCGTTTTCTGAGGTCCAAGGTCAACACAGCATCTACCAGGAAGTTTTAGAGACTTCATGCTTCCTGCTGCTGACCAACTTTATGGAGATGCAGATTTCATTTTCCAGCAGGACTTGGCACCTGCACACAGTGACAAAGCTACCAGTACCTGGTTTAAGGACCATGGTATCCCTGTTCTTAATTGACCAGCAAACTCACCTGACCTTTAACCCCATAGAAAATATATGAGGTGTTGTGAAGAGGAAGATGTGATACACCAGACCCAACAATCCAGAAGAGCTGAAGGCCACTATCAGAACAACCTGGGCTCTCATCACACCTGAGCAGTGACACAGACTGATCGACTCCATGCCACTGTTGCAGTAATCCATGCAAAAGGAGCTACAATTAAGTATTGAATGAAGTACATGCTCATACTTTTCATGTTCATACTTTTCAGTTGGCCATCATTTCTAAAAATCTTTTTATTTTATTGGTCTTACGTAATATTCAAATTTTCTGAGATACTGAATTTGGGGTTTTCATTAGTTGTCAATTATAATCATCAACATTAAAAGAAATAAACATTTGAAATATGTCAGTCTGTGTGTAATGAATGAATATATAATACAAGTTTTACATTTTGAATGGAATTACTGAAATAAATCAGCTTTTTCATGATATTCTAATTTTATAACCATCCATCCATCCATCCATTTTCTTCCGCTTATCCGGGGTCGGGTCGCGGGGGTAGCAGCCTAAGTAGGGAGGCCCAGACTTCCCTCTCCCCAGCCACTTGGGCCAGCTCTTCCGGGGGAATCCCAAGGCGTTCCCAGGCCAGCCGAGAAACGTAGTCCCTCCAGCGTGTCCTGGGTCTTCCCCTGGGCCTCCTTCCGGTGGGACGTGTCCGGAACACCTCACCAGGGAGGCGTCCAGAAGGCATCCTAAACAGATGCCCAAGCCACCTCAACTGGCTCCTCTCGATGTGGAGAAGCAGCGGCTCTACTCCGAGTCCCTCCCGGATGATCAAGTTTCTCACCCTGTCTCTAAGGGAGAGCCCAGACACCCTGCGGAGAAAACTCATTTCGGCCGCTTGTATCCGAGATCTCATTCTTTCGGTCACAACCCAAAGCTCGTGACCATAGATGAGGGTGGGAACGTAGATCGATCGGTAAATTGAGAGCTTCGCCTTTTGACTCAGCTCTCTCTTCACCACGACAGACCTGTACAGCGCCCGCTTCACTGCAGACGCTGCACCTATCCGCCTATCGATCTCACGCTCCATTTTTCCCTCATTCGTGAACAAGACCCCAAGATACTTGAACTCCTCCACTTGGGGTAGGACCTCCTCCCTGACCCAGAGAGGGCACTCTACCCTTTTCCGGCTCAAGACCATGGCCTCGGATTTGGAGGAACTGATCTTCATCCCGGCCGCATCGCATTCGGCTGTGAACCTCTCCAGTGAAAGCTGTAGATCACGATCTGATGAAGCCAATAAGACCACATCATCTGCAAAAAGCAGAGACGCAATTCTGAGGCCACCAAAACGGATCCCCTCAACACCTTGGCTGCGCCTAGAAATTCTGTCCATAAAAGTTATGAACAGAATCGGTGACAAAGGGCAACCTTGGCGGAGTCCAACTCTCACCGGGAACAAGCCCGACTTACTGCCGGCGATGCGGACCAGGCTCTGACACCGGTCATACAGGGACCTAACAGCCCGTATCAAAGGGCCTGGTACCCCATACTCCCAGAGTACCCCCCACAGGGCCCCCCGAGGGACGCGGTCGAAAGCCTTCTCCAAGTCCACAAAGCACATGTAGACTGGTTGGGCAAACTCCCACGCACCCTCCAGGACCCTGCTGAGAGTGTAGAGCTGGTCCAGTGTTCCACGGCCAGGACGAAAACCGCACTGTTCCTCCTGAATCCGAGGTTTGACTATCCGACGGACCCTCCTCTCCAGAACCCCCGAATAGACCTTACCAGGGAGGCTTAAGAGCGTGATTCCCCTGTAGTTGGAACACACTCTACGGTCCCCCTTTTTGAATAGGGGGACCACCACCCCGGTCTGCCAATCCAGGGGAACTTCCCCCGATGTCCACGCAACATTGCAGAGTCGCGTAAGCCAACACAACCCTACAACATCCAGAGCCTTAAGGAACTCTGGGCGGATCTCATCCACCCCTGGGGCCCTGCCACCGAGGAGCTTTTTAACCACCTCGGTGACCTCAGCACCAGAGATTGGAGGGCCCGACCCAGAGTCCCCAGGCTCCGCTTCCTCGGTGGAAGACGTGCCGGTGGGATTGAGGAGGTCTTCAAAGTATTCCGCCCACCGACCCACAACATCCCGAGTTGAGGTCAGCAGCAAACCACTCCCACTATAAACAGTGTTGGTGGCATACCGCTTCCCCCCCCTGAGACGCCGGATGGTGGACCAGAAACGTCTCGAAGCCGTGCGGAAGTCGTTCTCCATGGCCTCTCCGAACTCCTCCCATGCCCGAGTTTTTGCCTCAGCAACCACCCGAGCCGCATGTCGCTTGGACTGCCGGTACCCATCAGCTGCTTCCGGGGTCCCACAGGCCAAAAAGGCCCGATAGGACTCCTTCTTCAGCCTGACAGCATCCCTCACCGACGGTGTCCACCATCGGGTTCGAGGGTTGCCGCCCCGACAGGCACCGACAACCTTGCGGCCGCAGCTCTGGTAAGCCGCCTCGACAATAGAGGCACGAAACATGGTCCACTCAGACTCAATGTCCCCCACCTCCCTTGGAACATGTTCAAAGTTCTCCCGGAGGTGGGAGTTGAAACTCCGTCTCACAGGAGACTCTGCCAGACGTTCCCAGCAAACCCTCACAATACGTTTGGGCCTACCAGGTCTGACCGGCATCCTCCCCCACCATCGGAGCCAACTCACCACCAGGTAGTGATCAGTTGACAGCTCCGCCCCTCTCTTCACCCGAGTGTCCAAGACATGTGGCCGCAGATCAGATGAGACGATGACAAAGTCGATCATCGAACTGCGGCCTAGGGTGTCCTGGTGCCAAGAGCACATATGGACACCCTTATGCTTGAACAAGGTGTTCGTTATTGACAATCCATGACAAGCACAGAAGTCCAACAACAGAACACCACTCTGGTTCAGATCAGGGGGGCCGTTCCTCCCAACCACACCCCTCCAGGTCTCACTGTCATTGCCCACATGAGCATTGAAGTCCCCCAGCAGAACAAGGGAGTCCCCAGAAGGTGCACTTTCCAGTACCCCCTCTAAGGACTCCAGAAAGGGTGGATAATCTGAACTGCCGTTTGGTGCATAAGCACAAACGACAGTCAGAACCCGTCCCCCCACACGTAGGCGGAGAGAGGCCACCCTCTCATTCACGGGGGTGAACCCCAATACACAGGCACCAAGTTGGGGGGCAATTAGTACGCCCACGCCTGCTCGGCGCCTCTCACCAGGGGCAACTCCAGAGTGGAAGAGTGTCCAGCCCCTCTCAAGGAAACTGGTTCCAGAGCCAGAGCCATGTGTAGAGGTGAGTCCGACTATTTCTAGCCGGAACCTCTCAGCCTCACACACCAGCTCAGGCTCCTTCCCCACCAGTGAGGTGACATTCCACGTCCCAATAGCCAGCTTCTGTAGCCGAGGATCAGACCGCCAGGGTCCCCGCCCTCGGCCACCACCCATCCCACATTGCACCCGACCCCTTTGGCCCCTCCCACAGGTGGTGAGCCCATAGGAAGGGGGACCCACGTCTCCTCTTCGGGCTGTGCCCGGCCGAGCTCCATGGGTAAAAGCCCGGCCACCAGGCGCTCGCCCACGTGCCCCACCTCCAGGCCTGGCTCCAGAGTGGGGCCCCGGTGACCCACGTCCGGGCAAGGGAACACTAGGTCCATTTGTGTTTTTCATCATAGGGGTGTGTTTGGGCTGCACTTTGTCTGGTCCCTCACCTAGGACCTGTCTGCCATGGGTGACCCTACTAGGGGCATAAAGCCCCTGACAGCATAGCTCCTAGGATCATTGGGACACTCAAACCCCTCCACCATGGTAAGGTGGCAGCCCAGGGAGGGGTAATTTTATAACCAGCACCTGTATATTTGATATTTTCTGTCCAATATTTATTTCTACTACAATCAAACAATAAATAGTTTTTTTTACTGCTCTGATGGTGGAGAAGGCAGTAAGTTAATGTGACTACAACTGGACTCGTGTAAACATGTCTGTGTAACGACTCTGCTCCTGTCACATCTGCCTTCAGATCAACATGAAGACCATGCCCGCTGTCATGTTCAGGCTGCTGACCGGACAGGAAACACCCATCTACATTTAGGGACCCTGCTCGGATCGGACCGCTGCAGCTCTCTGGATGAGAATTTATTTTTCTATCATTTTATTTATTTTTTTGCCTCTTGTTGCAATGCTGTAAAAGAACATCCGGTTCTCGTTTTCAGGTTTTTATCTTGAACTGCATCGTCATAATGGCCTTATTATAATGTGAAAACTGTCTGTAGTGCTGTACGTGAAGTCAACGGTGTTTGAAGAGAAGTAGCTTTATGGTCATGATTATTTTCCTATGAAGAGATAAAATGAGCACATTTATTTTTTATTTAGTCATTTTTTTATAATGTGGATGGGGTTTAAAATTGCAGTTAAGCTGTAAATACTTTGAGTTACTCAAGGACTTGATGGGAAGGCCCGATTACTCCTGCAAAATTACAGTATGCATGTGATTGTGACAAACCAGGGATTCATTCTGACATGTTTGTCTAAAACAGTATTAAAATGTTTAAAGATGGGACGTTCAAAGACACTGAGCTCTGCATTACAGTGACACCGACGGCCATAGACACACTTCTTGTTCAGAGGCATACATCGAGTGATCGTTACTTTGATCGGGGCGTTCAAGAATGTATCGATACACATTACTGAATGATTGTAACGATAAGGAAGTCTGAAAATACACTTTATTAAACTCGTCTTTGTTTTCATTTTATTTTTGTGTTGCTGCAAAATTAAAAAAAAACTGCTGAAAACTTCAAACACAAAACATGAATACACGTCAGATTTGAGTTTTACCTGTTAAAGATACTTAAGGATAGCTCAGAGCTTTTGAGAGTGGGTTCTATTCAATATCATGAGTAGTTAATATCTTACCTGTTTTGAATGGCTCTTTAAATGACCTCAGTTTGGAAAAGTTGTTTATTTCTAGTTGGACAAACAAGCTAAAGGCTAATTCGAGCAGGATCAAGTCCAAAATACCATACCATACCAATTTATTTATAGAGCACTTAAAACAGCAACAAGGCCAACCAAAGTGCTGTACAAAAGAAAACAAACATGCACAGCGGACAGGAAAACATAAAATAGAAATACAGACACAAATAGCAGCAGAAGCTAACTAAAATGGCCAACAGAGTAGAGAACAGACCGGACCAAAACAAATCACACCGTGTTAAAGGCAAGAGAATAGAAGTGGGTCTTCAAGCGAGACTTAAAGACTGAGAGTGTGGGAGCCTGCCGGACACTCAGTGGCAACTCATTCCACAGTCGTGGACCTGCAACAGAGAAAGCCCTGTCACCTCTGAGCTTACGACGGGTTTCTGGGACTGAGAGAAGCATCTGGTCTGCTGACCTCAGAGAGCGCGGTGGGACATATGGCTGCAGAAGATCAGTGAGATAGGATGGGGCGGAACTGTTCAGTGATTTAAAAACATACATGAGAATTTTGAAATGGATCCGAAGGTGAATGGGTAGCCAGTGCAGGGAGGCCAAAACTGGTGTGATGTGCTCTCTATAGCCTGTACCAGTTAAAAATCGGGCTGCAGCATTTTGGACCAGTTGTAGACGAGCAATGGAGGACTGACTGATTCCAAACAGAAGTGAATTGCAGTAATCAAGCCTAGATGTTATGAAGGCGTGGATCACTGTCTCAAGGTTCTTTTTGGAGAGTATAGGCTTCAGCTTAGACAGCCGTCTCAGCTGAAAAAAACAGGATTTGACCATCGTGTTTACGTGACTGTTGAGTTTTAAGGACGGGTCCATTATCACCACCAGATTAGTGACCTTTTGTTTCTCTAGCGGGGCTAGAGAGAAAAGGTCAATGTCATGGTTCATGTGTGAGCCACTGGGATGGAACAGCATGACTTCAGACTTCTTCTCATTGAAGCTTAAGAAGTTTAAAGCCATCCAGTCCCGGATGTCAGCCAGGCAGTCAAGAAGAGGCTGAATAGAGCGTGTGCCTCTGTGACGCAGGGGGAAGTAAATTTGGCAATCATCGGCGTAGAAATGAAAGGGTATGTTGTGTTTGCGGAAGATAGCACCTAGTGGCAGTAGGTATAAAGAAAAGAGAAGGGGACCGAGGATGGACCCCTGTGGTACCCCTCCACTGGAGCGCTGTCGATGCCGAACTAAAATCTTTGATATTGACACAGAAGGTTCTGTCAGAGAGGTAGGACCCAAACCATTTAAGGGCTGACCCTGTGATGCCCACCCACTGCTCCAGTCTAGAAATGAGGATCTTGTGGTCGATGGTGTCAAAAGCAGATGTAAGGTCCAATAGGACAAGCAGCACAGAATCACCTGCGTCTGTGGATATGGAAATGTCATTAAAAACCTTCAGTAGAGCAGTTTCAGTGCTATGGAGAGATTTGAAGCCAGATTGGAATAACTAAATAGTAATAAATAATAACTGAAATAGATGACTTCTGTCTTCAAAAGCACTATTTTAAGCATCAAGACTGCCTTCAGTTTCACACCCTGTGATTATTTTGGCTAAAATATGACGTTCCTGCAGGAAATGCTACTGTTGGCTGCTGCTGCTCTTTACACTTACAGTTTACCATAGTATTCCCTGTAAAAAATAGACTGTGTAATGCAAAACTGATGGCAATGTAAAGTTTTATAAAAGTAGCAGTCTTCTGAACTGCTCTAAAACTTTTCATGCCTGTTTTACTTGGCATGTTTTTAAAAACAGAAGTTTTAAAATGTTACCCAGTTTCAAATTTAAAAAGACAAGAAGTTTTCAGTGTTTCCATATAGAGTCATGGAGTTTTTTTTATTATTATTTTAAGAAACAATACCATTGTATTATCCAATTTTATGCTTATTTCATTTCATTTAGGGCCAAAGAAACCAAAACATTGCTGCCCTTTTTTTTTTACTCATTTGTCTTTTAAAATCTCGATTCTGATAATATTTTACTTTAAACATGCTTAAATGGTTTAACTGTAAAACATTTACTCAAGCTAAACATGCTCTTTCTCTATTTTGATATGTGATGTGGACACTCTTACCACCTTGTGGCACAGCATGGACATCTCAGCATTTTGGTAGAACGTGTGCAGTGGGGAAAATATTTACCTATATATAAACAGCAACATTTCATTTAAAAAATATTTTGGGAGTATCATAGACTGGATGTAAATTGTGCTCAGTTTTAGCTATCATAAATACATACATGCTGCACTGACAGCTAAACTCATGTCACACTATAAGACACAAGATTTATTATCTATACAACTTTTATCTGCAGGAAAATCAACTAAGCCACAAAGATCTGACGGATATCAGTCAAACAATAAAATAAAATCAAACCCTGAAGTTGATGCTGTAACTATTATAGTCAGACACTATAAAGGGAGGAGGATAAGGGGGGAAATGACTCACGGCTGTGAAAAAGTAAAGTAAAGTGCTATGTGTTGTCATCACTGTATATTTCCTTACAATGACAAAACCAGGGGTGTCTTGCTCAGGGACACCACGACATGTGGGAATGGATGGGAGTTGAATCGTGACTTTCTGGTACCAAGTTGGCTGATCGATCGATCTATCCATCTATCTATCCATCTATATCTATCCATCTATATCTATCCATCCATCCATCTATCCATCTATCCATCTATCCATCTATATCTATCCGTCTATCCATCCATCCAACCCATCTTGGACCCTTCGGTCTTGTGGGTTGAGATCCAGTTGGAGCCAGTCTAAGGCCTCTCCCCCATGGATCCTGCGGGCCAGCTGGATGTCTTTGGGCATGATGGTGATCCTCTTGGTCTTGGCATGGATGGCTCACAGGTTGGTATCCTCGAACAGACCCACCAGACTTCTGGTAGTGGCGGATCTCCCTCAGAGCCACGGTACCGGGTCTGTAGTGGTGAGGCTTCTTCACTTCACCGGTGGCCTGGCAGCTCTTGCGGTCAGTCTTGGTGGCCAGCTGCTTCCTGGGAGCTTTACCTCCGGTGGATTTACGGGCGGTCTGCTGGGTTCTGGACATGCTTAGCTCACTGAATACCTCTCTGTAGAACACTACAAAAAAAACTAAGACTTTGCAGTCACACTATGACCTTTGTCACAGGTCGGTTTGGATCGTGAGAGTGCTGAATCGGCCGTCGGCGAGTCAGTCCCACTTAACGAAAATACACCACTGATTCAAGTTCACAACAAAAAATCTCTTACACTTTTTTCTAAACAAAAGCGTCTGTCAGACGTCTGAAAATCAGAGTGTGAACTGATTCGTGTTGGTCTTGGCCTCGCTCTGACTAGCCATCAGCTCGTCAATCAGGCAGAATTAATCGGACATCGTTCGGAGCTAGCAACAGGTAAGATGTGAATTTGATTCAAGCAGAAAGTGAAAAGATTTGAACTACTGCTTTAATACTCATCTGCCCCCTCATTTCTTTTACAATTACTTGAAAATGAAAATAGTTCCACTTTTGAGGCTGCTCATAAAATCTTTATTATTACAAGAGGTTGTTTTCAAAATGGGTCATAAAGGTTGTTTTTTTTAAGAAACCCCAGGCATTACCAAACAATCTATTAAACATTTCTGCCTCCAATTATTAAAATATAATTGAATTAAGACAAATATACACGTTTCATTCACGTTGATCGGTGTGTAAACACCAGACACACAAAGACACAATAAAGATCACATACAAATGAATATAATCTTTTCACAACTACTGCACCATGAATGTTGACTTTACAAATTTCAAATGCATATTTACAATTAACACTTACAGGCTCACACAGGAAGTTAAAACTGTTTGAATCAAGACGGTCCAATTGAATCACATTCAGATGAATTGTTTTCAAGTATGAACTGCGAACGCTCCCTGAGCTCTCTGGTCCACGTCAGAAAAGCTCCTGAAAAACAAACAAAAGTGTTGCACAGCGGAGGTGAGAATAAAGGAAACAAATAGATTTAGGATGTTTAACATATGCTGTAAATGTTGTAATAGTAATCGCACAGCACCGCTCATTTTCTACCTTATTTTGAGGTTGAATATGTATTTAGCAGTATATGCTGCTGATAAAATGACTACCATATTTTCCACCGTACACGTCGCACCGCCCTATAAGTCGCATCAGTCCAAATATGTCTAATAAAGTGGAAATATCCATAAATACATTGCAGCTATTATGCGTCACCGCTGACAACCCAGAAATGTGGGCCGGTGTTGTGCCTAAAATCGGTTGGCTGCCAAATGGCGGACGCAGGAGCGTGCACGGGAGGACTTTAACAAGAATTTAACAAGATAAACACCTAAAAATAATTATTTGTTTGCTCGACTTTATAGTAGAAGTGTGTCTCAGTTGAACTTTTACTTAATAAATTCACTTCAATGGTCAAATTAGCTGCATTTCACCGGGGCGGAGCAGCGAAATGAAACTGATTTGAAGGTTGCTGCAAGTGAGCTGGATGAAGGAGGGAGGATATGGCAAGCCGATTGTGTCACTAACAGCCACTTTTTCCTATTAAATGACACAACTGCATGCCATACTACTCGAGTGCCATCTAGCGGCTGAAAATGGTAGTGTTCAATACTTCAGTCAGAATAGTGATAGCGGTCATATCTCAGCCAAAAATTATTTATAAATATGTGAACAAAAAACATAAATAAGTCGCTTCAATGTATAAGTCGCAGGGCATGTAAATTATGCAAAAAACTGTGACTTATAGGCCAAAAAATACGGTAATCTAGGGAAAATGTTGCTGATGAGAACTTACTGTTGTAACTTTTGATGTCAGAGGTGAAATCATTGCTTCTTCAAGGAAAACTGAATTCAGGTAACCCTCCCCATAAAAATCATCCTCATCTTCGCAGCTGTCGACGCCGACACTGAAAGCTGCTTTCATCTTCTCCGGCATCAGAAAGTTTAAAGTCACCACAAGGATCCCGGTGATGGTGCACAGAACACCTGAAAGTCGCCTCAGTCAGTAAAAAATAAAAACTCTTGGTTTTATTCACACTGTAGCATGCTCACCTGTAGCCAGAGCCAGCCAAAATGAATGGCTGAACTCTGTAACGAAGGAGTCCGTTCCGATGGAGAAAACACACCGAGGCACGTTCATGATGGTGGAGAAGGAAACCATGGAGGAGAAAATGAAGGCGGCCGTGGCCATCATCATGTACCCGGCGTACAGGATGACGGGCATGGAGAAGAGGATGTTGGCAAGCACCCAGCAGCAAAACGCTGTCCTGCAGAACGGTTCACGTGAAAACGTTTTTGATTTTTGCTTTTGGACATAAAGATAAAAAAGAAGTGGCAGAAGAATGATGTGAAAATAAGAGTTGTTAGAAATCACCAGAGCGTGGCAGAGGCAAACCGTCCAGAGTATCTGTACTGAAAGATCAGACCGCACGGGCTGCTCAGGGTGAATTTCTCAGCAATGTACAGGATGGGGTTGGGCAAGCCTTTCTCCAGAGCTTCCTCATACTCTTCTTCTATCGTGTCGTGCCAGCTGAACATCTCGTTGTAGTTGATGGTCTCGTTGAACTGTACGATGGGATTTCCTGAAGGAGAGGACACAGTCACTGAAAAAGTATGTTCAGCTTCTGTCACTTCTTGTGCTTCTTACACATAAATTAAACAGTTGTAACTACATACGACCTGTTATGAGGGGGGAGTGGTGGTGCAGAGGTTAGAGAGGGCAGGCCGGTGATCGGAAGGTCGCCCGTTCAACCCCTTGGACCGACAACATCAAAATGTTGGTGAGAAAGATGAAGCACCCACACCTGCCTCCACTCTCATTTGCCCCACACTGGGCCCTTGAGCAAGCCCCCCCCCCCCCCCCCCCCCCCCCCAATAGAGGGCTGTGGTAGCTCGGTGGTCTGTGGTTGAGTCATGAAGGGTATCTGTCGAAAAAACAATTGCCAAGCCAGAGTGGGGTAAATGAGGGTGGAGGCAGGTGTGGGTGTTTCACCTTTTCTACCCACATTTTGATGTTGTCAGTCCGGGGAGTTGAACCTACGACTTTCTGATCACAGGCTCATTTTCTCCAACCTCTGTGCCACCACTCCCCAGTTAGATGTCAGATCTTAAAAATTGTTGAGCCGTTAGCGTCAGAAGCCTCTGACGGCCACACGTCTGACCCTTTGTTTCCACAGTGGTTGCTCAGGAGACACAAGTTAAAGAGACTTTGCCTCCAGTGCACTGGGAAGACTTGAGAGAAAACGAGAGTGGAGTTTCATCATCTGTTTCACCAATACTCCATCAATGTCCATTTTTGTTCACAGCTTTTTGCTATTGTTTCTAAGTTGTGCAACATAATGCTAGCAAAAGTAATAGCACACTATTCCAGAACAAGTTGTGTATTTTAATGCATAATTGCATGTTTTATTTCAAAACTGTGTGAGGAGATGCAGGACAAATATTAACATGGGAGCTTGCTACGCTTATGCTTGGACACACTCTTTAATTTAACAAAAACTAAAGCAGGTTTGCAAAACTGCATTTGAACAAACCACAAGTTTTCTGCAGCAGTGACCATTTGAAGCACGAGCCCAAAGATTGATCAACGTGCACAGCGTCATCAGTTTGGATCAAAGTGAAACATCAAACATTTTAGTCAAAGACTTGTATTGTAATAGTAGGATGTGGACGCTTTGCTGAACTCCTCTGTAAGCTAAAAGTTTTTTCAATCGAAAGTGATGCAATCAGTTTGACCTAAATTGGGTCATGCAACGGGACAAACACCCTAAACACTGCAGAACATCAACAACAGAATGTCTTGAGAAGAAACAAACAAAAACAAATAGAGCTTCTTCAGTGTCCCATATTCAATCATAGTCCACACTGCAGCCCAGCTGAAACATTTAACTTTAACAGAGCTGTGCCAAAACACGTGCCACCAAACCTCAATAAACTGAAGCAACGTTGTCAAAAAGAGTGGGCCAAAATGCCTCCACAACCATCTGAGAGACTGATAAGCTCATATAGAGTATGATGCCTGCTGCAAATGGTTGAACTGTCAGTGTATTTATCTTACACGCAGCTTCTGCACTGTGCAGGGTAAGTCATGTGTTTTTGTTGCATCTTGAGTAATATTTGTCTAAATTTAGAAGCTGCTTAATACCAGAGGATTTTAATCAGTGCTGGAGCTCAAAAACAAAGAGAGTTGCTCAAGCCGTGGAAGCTGTCAACACCTGAGGAGCAGGAGTGACTCACCTCTCAGTGTCACGTTAATGCCGTACAGCCCGACGTGCAGGCCGACCTCAGCGTTAATTACTGCGTTGCTGAAAGACTTGTAGGTAGCGTTTGTGGTCATCCTTGCCTCAGCCCAGCTGTTAGTGTAGTTGAGCACTGCACAGAAAGAACATAAAGGTAAACATTTATAGATTTAAACAAAAAGGGAAATCTGCGGTTTACGAAGACAAAAACTCACCCACTAAAACCACACCGATGAACAAGCTGGTAATTATCCTGAACATCCAAAACAGCCTCTGCAAAGAAGCAGAAAGAGCAAAGCCGGGTGTTTTTAGTAGAAAAAGACGAGTGCAGCCTAATGCTGCACATGGAGGGACAGAAGAACTCCAGGGCTGTTTGCAGTGACCCCACACGTTATCAGGTGGGCTGCACTCACCGTCCTTCCTCGTATTCCGGGCAGAATGAGGAGAAGACTGAACGCTAGCACAAGGAAGACCAGAATAATGGTGAGCAAGCGCCCGCTGAAGATGAAGGAAGTCCTTTGTGGAGGGTAGAACGGGTAAATGTCGTCGTAGAAAGTCATCTTAGCGACTGATCTAAGGATACAGCTGAGTCTAGGCGGCGTAACAGAGCAGGCAGTGTTAGAAGCAGACGTCTCAGTTTCCTCCAGATGCACAGATAGTGGCTCTTGTTGCCTAAAGCTGATAACAAACATGCACTGAGCATGTTGAACTTACACAACAACATCTAAATGAGCCACGCATGGCCTGTTTTTACTGAAAATAAATCTGTAAGATAATAAAATATCCTGCCTATCCATGTGATTAGCTTTAGTCAATTATTCAATGGTACATTCCCTGATTTTAATTAATGCAGTTGTTTAAACCTAAATGTAATAATTTAAAGAGGAGTAGGATTTAAAAAAAAAAGTCATTTACCTGATATTTGCAGGGCAGGAACTGATGAAGATGAGGAGACGTCCACTTCTTTTATACAGGTGGTATCCCCCTTTATGTCACAGAGGAGGAGGAGGAGGATGCTGCTGTGGAAAAGAGGTGTGATCCACACATCAAGGCCATTCCCAGTTGAGAAATGGGTTGCAGCCAGTTTGTGAAGAGCTGAGCAGCAGTTTTATTCAGAGGTGCACCTGAGCTCAAACCAGCTGTCCTGTTCAACATCTCTGCTCGGGGTGAGACTCACTACTTTGTCTTCTTTATTAAGAGATTAACGAAGTCTTAGGGAAACTAAAATAATCACATTTTGTATTATTATTTTAGCAGTTCATTGATGTGACTGCATTGTCTGTATGGTTGTATCTCTGCAAAACTAAATACAGTACGGAAATAAATAGAAAAGCAAATGTCGATTACCTGCAGGTTGTCGTCACTTTGTTAAAGTCCTTCACTTCCCTTGGCTTGAGTGCATCTCTCGCATCAATGGATTTGCGTAAATGGCTTTGGAGTGCGCGCGCAGTGGTCGTCTTGGTGCTCACCGTCACTGACCGTGAGTAAACAACAGCGAATAAACTCACCGACACAGTTCCTGACATTTACATCACGTTTCTTTCTTAAACGAGCAGGTTGTCGGTGTGAGATGACCTGGGAGGTGCCTCGTTTTGACGGCTGGTACAACAGTTTGGGCAGTCCCAGACGTGGAGCTGTAGGTGAGTCCCGGCTCGGAGGGAGGAGGGTCACGTGACCAGCGGCACCTGCTGACTCAGCTGTTCTCTTCACCCGCGCCTTTTCTGACACTACTTCTCTGCTCTCTGGTTTTAATGCCGAGCTTGTTCTGAAGATTCAGGCTGCATCTTTTGGTGTTTGTAACTGTTCAAAAATGTTTTGACTTTATTTACAAGAATATTACCTGTTACAGTGACATCACCAGTTTCTTCAAAAACATTTGGTCATGCTACTTTTAGCTTTTTAACTAGCCTTTTTTCAATTTTAGCTTTTAACATTTTGCTTCTTTTACAGTTAAGCTACTGTTGTACTATGTTTTGCTAGCGTTTTATTACTTTTTTTTCTTTTAGAATGGCTACTTTTAGCTTGCATTTTTAACTAATGTTTACTATTTTTAGCTAGCATTTGCTACTTTTAGCAAGTGTTCTACTTTTAGCTTGCATTTTCTACTCTTAGCTGGCATTTGCTACCTTTAGCTAGTTTTCTTTTAGCTTGCATTTGCTGCTTTTACACAGTTTTACTACTTAGGATTTGCTACGTTTAGCTAGTGTTCCAATTTTAGCTTGCATTTGCTACTTTTAGCTATTGTTCTACTTTTAGCTTGCATTTTCTACTCTTAGCTGGCATTTACTACCTTTAGCTAGTGTTCTTTTAGCTTGCATTTGCTGCTTTTAGCTAGGGTTCTGCTTTTAGCTTGCTTTTGCTACTTTAGCTTGCATTTGCTACTTGTAATTGTTCTACTTTTAGCTTGCATTTGCTGCTTTTAGCATGTGTTCTACTTTTAGCTTGCATTTGCAACTTTTAGTTCACATTTGCTACTTTTAGGTTGATGCTTTTAGCTAGTGTTCTACTTTTAGCTTGCATTTGCTACTTTTAGCAAGTGTTCTACTTTTAGCTTGCATTTACTGCTTTTAGTTAGCATCTGCTACTTTTAGCTACTTTTTTTGCTAAATTTAGCCTGTGCTTTCTTCCAACTTTTAGAAAAAAATTTGCTATGCTGTATTAGCTGGTGTTTTGCTACTTTTGCATTTTAGCCAATGTGTCACATTTGGGAAGTGTTCTACCTTTAACTAGCATTTTCCTATGTTTTTTGCTAGTACGTGTTGACTACGGTTTGGTACATTTAGCTTATGTTAGCCTACTTTTAGCCGGAGATGTATTACATTTACCTTGAAGCTAGTGTTTTATTACTTTTTAATTTTATCTAGCTTTGCAATCAAGCTACTTTTAGCAAGCTTCTTCAACTTTAGCCTACCATTTTATTACTTTTATTTTTTAGTATTTTACTTTTAGCTAGGGTTTTGCTAGGTTTGGCTTGTGTCTTGCTCCTTTTTGTTTTTAGCTCAAATTTAGCTCCCTTTAGCTTTTAGATGGCGTTCCGGTTCTTTTAGTTTTAACAGCGTAGTTTTAGCTTCAACAGAAAATGTCTTCAGTCTTTCGGTGCTTGACTTTCACATCATGTTTTGCAGAAATAGCATTTTCTCCAGCTGCCTTTGTGCTTGTGCAGGTTCTCATCTTGTTCGCCTCATGCCCGCGCACTACTGGGATGGGGTTTACCAAGCTGTCCACGAGCCACTGCAGCCAAACCCCCGCAAGCTGAGCAGGCTTCTAACTGAAGGGCCCTCCGGTCTGCCCTCCACACGCAACCGGACCGTGCTGTCTCTCTTCTTCGGTAAATATTAAACAGTTTATTCCACAAGCTGTAAAAGAAGACTAAATAGGAATCCCCTCAGGTGAGATGAAACATTTCCACAAAGAAGACTGTCCAGAGGACCTGACTCAACCTTAAATAAACTGGTCCAGATGACATGGTTTAACCTTTTTTTGTTGTCTACCTGGATGATTGAGCCTACAAACCTTTTTTCTGACTCAACCTTGTTACAGATCAGACTACTGGTACTCACATTTGTCTTTATTAAAAGTATTTATTTACAGTAAGTCTATATAACCAGAACATCCTGAAACCAAACTTGGGTAAAAGGGAGTTTTTGTATAATCTAATATAATTTAATTGAATAAATTGTTAGTGGGTTACCTCATTGGCAGTGTTTGCTTTTAGAACAAAACATCATGTGTACAAACTTATTTTGGGAAAACCTTGGTTCATAATGAGCAAAAGATCCATGTCAGCTGAAGAACCATCCATCCATCCATTATATTTTACCATCCATCTATTATCTTTTACCATCCATCCATCCATTATCTTTTACCATCCATCCATCCATTATCTTTTACCCACTTCTTCCATTTTTGGTCACGGGGGGTCGCCGGTGCCCATGTCCAGCAATCACTGTGCAAGGGGCGGGGTACACCCTGGACAGGTCGCAAGTGCTGATGAACCAGTAAGTTCAAATAAGAAATGGACTACTAGAACAATTCCTGTCAAAGGCATATATTTTGTATTTTTTAAGGGTCCCGTTTTGTACTAAAAATCTAGGCCTAGGGTAAAGGGCTTCAAAGCTAAAGAAACAAGACTAAAGACTGATGTTGAGGATCTCCCCAAGTACATTTTTACCCTTATAGGTACAACTGGGTAGTTTTTTTCTGAGAGTATCCTGTTTTTATGACTTGTAACAATAATGTCCTGATGCATGCTCAATAATCAGGAAAAAAAAATCTAACAAAGTAAAGTCAGGTCCTCTGGACGGATTATTTTTCTTGAAATGTTTCATCGTTTATCCAAATGACTTCTTCAGCCTGAGGAGCTGCAAAAAACTCACTCTTATAAACAGCACCTTCTCATAATGGATCAACCAGTTTATTGGAGACATCCAACACCAGCTGTTCACATGCTAAAGGAGGACCATCAGCCTAACGATGGATCATTAGCACTCTGATGGCTGTTTACTATTCACAGGGGGCTGAGTGATACTAGCAGTAACAGCATTGTAAGAGGGGGACAATTGAACACGGAGGCCTCCACCCCTGTTTAATGATGGACAGGTTCTGTAACAATAATATTTTATAAAAACAGTATTTACCATTATGCTGCAATTTTATTAGATTTCTGGAAATCATCTCAACGCACTTTAGCTAACTCCTCGTTTGCTGCAAATCGATTTTATCCTCCTAAAGTCCCGAGTTCTCCGTGCAGTTTTACATACGCGTATCCTTAGGTTCTCAGAACATCATTGGATAAGAAAGCAAATATTTACATTTCTAAATGCTTTACATACTGATGTTTTTACAGGTTATCACGTTGCTTTCGAGATTTTTGACTCAAGAACTCCTGGTTGTCCACCAGAGTTCTTGAACATCCAAGTCCCTAAAGGTGACCCTGTCTTTGACCCCACCGCCACCGGGAATGTCCTGCTGCCCTTCCAGAGAGGACAGTGGGACAAGGAGTCTGGGCAGAGTCCCAGCAACCCTCGCACACAGGTGACGATTGGTAAACTATTTTAAAAACAGCTGCTCAGGCGTCTTTCTTTATTGTGTGGGACACAAACTGAGTAAACTCCCGCAGGTTAACTCTGTGACGGCGTGGATCGATGGAAGCTCCATCTACGGTCCCTCCTCTTCTTGGTCTGACTCCCTGAGAAGCTTCTCTGGAGGTCTCTTGACTTCAGGATCTGAATGGAACATGCCAAGTCAGGGAGGGGACCTCAATTTCATGTGGAGCTCTCCTGATCCCTCAACAGGAGAACATGGACCACAAGACCTTTACGGTGAGGCTGTACACTCAAATGCATCCTCTTTAGTAGCTGGGTGCAATGAAAGGTATATGTTTGGAGCTCACTCTAAACAGTGGTTCTAGTAATATTTAGTCATTTTTTATAGGCTTGCTAGACGATAATGAAATCTTCATCCGGTCCAAAAGAAAACACTCTGTGTAGCAATAACCACCATGTCGATACTGCGAACTGCCAAGGACAAAAAATAGTTTGCAAACAATATTTCACCCCTAGATCAGGATTGCAGTCGGAGCCTGAGTCAAAAGAGGCCCAGCCTGACGTGACTCTTTAATTATTGTGTAAATGTCATGTTACACTGACCAGACTAAATCCTTGTTTCAATAGCAGAGAAGAAGATGTGGATGTGTCATAAAACCAGTGTTTTGTTGCCAGTGTTGTGAAAGTTGCACACTTATTATCCTTATCAGAGAGAAGGGGGGAGCTGGTCCTAATGTCCTTGCATTGCTGACCCATTCCTAGAAAAACCAAACAATATATTTTACTTTTATGTACGTGCTCAGAGGTATGTGTCCCTCACTGTGACAGGATTCTGCACAGAACATATGTGATAAGCAGCATTTTGGGTAAAGAAACACTTTTCCACGTTTGACCTACATCCATCCGTCTTCATGCGTTGGTCACAGTGACGTTAACCAACCTGATGAAATAGCAAAACTTCCTTGTTTGTGCCATCCTTTCTGTCCAGAGTTGGGAAACGCCTGGGCCAATGAGAACGTGTTCACGGCAGCAGAGGGGATTATCTGGTTTCGCTACCACAATTATGTCGCCGACGAGCTGCATAAGAAACACCCAGAGTGGTCAGATGAGGAGCTGTTTCAACACGCCAGGAAGATCGTTGTGGCCACGCTCCAGGTAGAAGGGAAAGATCTGGTGTAATCCCCTCGCTGCACTGATGCTGATTTAATTTGCACTCTGGAAAGATGGAGTTTGCATCAACGTCTTTAAGGACCGGGACGTCATCTCACGTGTCCTGCACGTATTCTCTAGAACATCAGTGTGCTCATAAAACGTTAGGGTTAACAATGTCTTGAAGGATTATCATTCGCTTTAACTAATAAAACAAGCAAATGTCGTGAAAAATATGAGCACTGCAAATTTATTGTTGCACAGATCTGCAGTTTGTGTCAGGCAGCTCATGTACGTTAAAGAAACTGCCTTCACTTTGATCTTTTCTGCATTTTCACACAGAATATTGCTGTTTATGAATGGCTGCCAGGATTCCTCGGAGACAAAAAGCTTCCTCCATACCCAGGTAAGATTTAGCCGCAGAGAACGTGCACGTACAAGTGCATGGGGAACACGTGATGCACCACTGGCCACAATCCGTGGTGAGGTGAGCTATCGCTGGTGCTGTTTGACAAATATGTGCTCCATCAGCAAAAGCATCACCCAAGAGTCTCCCTCTTTCTGCTGAATGGGCAGCCGCAGCTGAAGAAAGTTCAAGAACAACAGCCTGATGATCCCAGGATATTATTTACTTTGACGTTTTGGATGAAGCTGGAGATTTTAGTCTTTCTGTCTTGTGTTACGTTATGCTTTTCCAGGTTACCAGAAGTTTGTTGATCCAGGGATCTCTCCTGAGTTTCAAGCTGCTGCCATAAGATTTGGCGTCACTATGGCTCCACCTGGTGTTTACATGAGGTGAGGACTCACAATATCCAGAGAACAGATTCTGAAGGAAATATTTTCTCTTACATTGTTGATTCTGCTTCTTCCTGACAGAAACCGAACCTGTCACTTTCGAAAGATTATCAGCTCTGATGGAATCACATCACCAGCACTGCGGCTTTGTCACAGCTTCTGGAAACGTCACGTACGTACACTCAGAGTTCATGGACGGCTAAACATGAATTTTATCCACTTTTTTAAATGTTGTTTTGTATCTACAGCACAACTTAGTTTATTTTATGGTAGAAAAGCACCAAAAATAAGACTGGCCTTTAGGATAATAAAACGTACAGTATACCCTTTAAAAGATGCTCTGCGTGGTGTTAAATACACTTTCTTTGCATGTGCTCATCCTCTTTTAATAGATTCTTCTAATGACACATCAGGTTTAAAAATAATTAAGCTGCTCTTTAACAAATCCTGAGAACAACAATGAGACTGAAGTGTTTCTTTTCACCTACAGGGAGATCTTAAGAACATTCATGTTCTGCTGAATACAGATAATTTAAAGGTTCCTCAGAGATAAATGGAGACAACGCTCACAGTGAGAGATGATGACGCCTCACTGTTTAATGTGTGTTGTGTTGGTTAACACTGGCCTTTTTAAAACCAACTATTCCGACAAGATAATGTCATTAGATCTGAAATTACAGATGTGTTTTTCACTGTTGGTGTTCTAGCTGTTTACCAAAACAACATGCATGATGAAGACCTGTAATGTCTAAGCTCTCTGTTCATTTTGAAAATGGATAACCTCAAACTAAAATGGAGACTCGACACTTTTATAATTAATTAATTTATTTTACATCGAAGTAATTATACAACTGTTCAAGTAATACCAGAGCTTATTGCATGTAACATCATTAGTTACATTCATTTAACGTTTGTTTGTGTTGACGAAAATAAGGTGCACAAGCTGATATCACATATTTCTGTGTTTTTGGAACGGTTTTCACACTTGATCCATTTTTTTTTTCAGTTTTAGTTTCTCTCCATTGGCTCCCTGTCAAGTCCAGAATTTAATTCCAAATCTTAATTCTAACCTATAAAGCTCTCAACAACCTAGCTCCATCTTATATCACAGGTCTTATTGTTCCATATTTTCCTAACGGAGCACTTTGCTCTCAGACTGCAGGTTTACTAGTGTTTCCTAGAGTTTCCAAGAGCAGAATGGGAGGAAGATCTTTCAGTTATCAGGCTCCTCTCTTGTGGAACCAACTTCCAGTTTCTGTCCATGAGACTGACACATTGTCCAGTTTTAAGATTAGGTTTAAGTATTTCCTTTTTGATAAATCCTATAGTTAGGGTCGGCTTGTTATGCTGCTATAGGCTTAGACTACTAGAGGACAAATTGACCTCATTTCCTAAAATGAAAAGTTACAAATTCATACATATGAATAATTTCCATTTGCTACTATTTCTATCTTAATGTGATTCTTGACCTGCCGTTGTGTATCTGTTCCTCTCAAACGGTCGAAGCAGATGACCGCTTTTCATGAACCTGGTTCTGCTACAGGTTTCTTCCTCACGAGGGAGTTTTTTCTTTCCACTGTCGCCTTCATGTTTGCTCAAGATGAGAGTTCTGTGATGGAGTTAAATTCAAAGCAGTCTGCTCCTCAGATAAATAATGTTATTAACTTACTTTATTATAGGAGTGTAAATCACCAGCTTTGCCACGATACAATATTATATTGATTTGTTTATATGACGATACGATTTTTCTTTATCACAAAGTTCGTAACGATACGATTTCGGTTCTATTCGATTCACAAGTCTGCGATCTATATATTGCGATATCAAATGCCCATCTCATTTACATATAAATACATTTACAAAAACAATTCAAATATGATGTAACCATTTTATTTCTGATATTACAGGCACCAGGCATTAAAATAATTTTTTTTCTTAATTAATGAAAAAATAAAAATAAATGACCTGTTCTGTATAGTCTCACATTTCTCATGTTTAAGTGCATTTTTAAACCAGTTAACTTAAAAGTTCCCTGATGACCTTTAAGTTATAAAGAAACAAAAATAGATATTGAGCTTACATAACATGGCTATCAATGTCGTGTTTCTTCTTCAGGTGAGCAGCCAAAGTAGTTGTTTCCCGAGTATTTGAACTCACACTGGCACCTGTTGCATACGACATGAGTTCTGTGTGTTGAGCCGTCCTTCTGTCAGAATCCAAAATATTTCCACAGAGTCGATTTAAATCCAGCAGGAGAGTGAAGTTCATTATCTGTGTTTTCTGCCTCGTCTGCCATGTTGCTGAGGCGGCCGCAGAGCGCAGCCGCGCACGGAAATGGTGACACAGACGTGCCTTGGGAATTTCAAAATAAAAGCATGTTTTAAAAATGACGATATCAGTCAGAGTCAGAGTTTCTTTATTGTCATTCGCACCTCATGTGGTACATGTGGTGGAGCGAAATTATGTACACGGGGTCCCAGTTACATCCGACAATAAAATGTATAAGAAAAACAGTAATAACATCTAAGATATGAACTAAGAAAAACATCAACTAAATATACACTAAGCACTCATAACATAAAACATTGAACATCAGCACAAACATGAACATGAGTCTGTGTGAGCAGATGTTCACGCATGAACACATCAACATTGAAACAGATCAGCAGCAACATGAAACAGATCAGCAGCAACATGATATGGTTTTTCACAGTGATTATTCTAGTTAGAGATTCATGAGTCTAACAGCCTCAGGGTAGAAGCTGTTCCTCAGTCATATGAATCAATGTTTTAGTTTTGTCACAATATAATTGAATCATTAATCATTTAATCGATATATCAATTTAAATCGATGTATTGTTACACCCCTACTTTATTATGTATATGAATGTTTCTGTTCAGTGCCCTGAGATGACTTCTGTTGTGACTTGGCGCTATAATAAACTGAATTGAATTGATCCTAAACATTTATCTGTCTTCTCCAGAGGGTCAATGTGAGGACAGGTCAGGATGTGGATGATCTCCTGATGGGCATGGCCTCTCAGATCGCAGAGAGAGAAGACCGTGTTGTTGTGGAGGACCTAAGAGGTTTTTGTTATTCGCTCCGTGTGTATTATTCACCACCAGCAAGAGAGAACGTACAGCTCTGATGGGATTTCTCCTTTGACAGATTACATGTACGGACCGCTAAGGTTCACCCGCACGGATCTGGTGGCTCTAACCATCCAGAGAGGAAGAGACTTCGGTCTGCAAAGTTACAACAGTTTGAGAAACGCTCTGGACCTGCCGCCCGTGAACACATTTGAAGAAATCAATCCTGAACTCAACCGGACCAACCCGCAGGTAAAAGCTGATGATTAATAAAACGAAAAGTCTAAATAACCACGTGAACTAAACTCTGTTTTACGTTTTGCTGCAAAAGTTGCTTCGCAGCGTTGCAGAAATGTACGACGGAGACGTTTCACGTCTGGAGCTCTTCCCTGGAGGACTGCTTGAGTCCACTGACGGCCCAGGTCTGGTTTTCTCTGCCATAATCCTGGACCAGTTTGAACGCATCAGGAACGGAGACCGCTTCTGGTTTGAGAACAAACAGAATGGGTAATCTTCACGACTAATAATGTTAGAGATATTTATACTGTAGATGAACGTTGCTTTTTTCTTGCCGTCTTATCTCCGTGTTCTCACTTTGGGATCATTTTCAGTTTGTTCACGGATGAGGAGATCCAGACAATCCGTGATGTCACGTATCATGATGTCATCGTTGCAGTCACAAACGCAGAGGCCACTGATATACAAAAAAATGCCTTTTTTTGGAGGGATGGTAATAAAACAACTCGTGATACAGCTGTGTTTGTTTAATTTGAATAAATATTCATTGACAGTCTCTCTCGCCCACAGGTGACCCCTGTCCTCAGCCCGCACAGCTGAATGCATCAATGCTGCAGCCCTGCACCAATGCAACAAAATTTAATTACTTTGATGGGAGTCATGCAGGCTTCTCCATATTTATCATTGCTATGTTCCTCTTCCCTGTCGGTCAGCGTCTTACCTTTTCCTTTTGTACAGTAGTAACGCTGACATCTCTCATTAAACGTTTAGTTGTGAAGCATTTGACTGTTTGATCTTCACAGTGAGCTATCTGGTGGCGTGCATGGTGGCATATCTGCGGAAGTACAGGTACAGGAAGTTTCAAAGGACAAAGGCCAAAGCTGGTGACAGAGCAGAGGAGCCATCTGTGGGAATTACTGGTATGAAATCTGTGGAAACATTGTTTGGAACGTGCTGTTTTGATTATAACATTAGGATTACATTCAGCATCTTGCCTCTAGTCTTGGCCTGCAAAATGTCTTTGAATGTACACAAAATAACCACGTAAGACACTTAACGATCACAGCAGCTGGGGAAAGTAATTGTAAAAACACGTGGTAAGTGAAACAGTATAGACTTGATAAGTAAAGAGTGATTTTAGAAAGTCAAAAAGGAAATACAACAAGAATGGAAAAGGTTTACAAACTGGTCAAACAGAATCTCCGAAATGCAGCTGATGCCAATTTTCAACAAAATACACAATTTAAATCTTATTATTGTTTCACTTTGTTCTGTTGTATCTAACTGTACAGAATTGATCATTACAAATGTAAACTTTACTGAACACATGGGCTCAGCTACATTACATGAACCATGTAGCCTGCGCTTGGTCTGTGTTCCCCTCTAATCCTTCCCCCTGGGAACACAACACATAGTTAACTATCCACTTGTTACATATACGACTACACGACACAACTGCATGTTTCATTTGTAGTTTTGTGTGTCTTGTTTGAAGAAAAGGGCTCTCCCTCCTCAGTAGAAGTAGATTTACTGCAGTGCTGACTTTCTTGGATGTAATGACCCAAACGTGTCAGCAAGTGTTAGCATAGAACAGGGTTAGCTCATAAACTATACCATATTTTTCAGACTATAAGGTGCATTAAGCAAAACAAAACAATGAGATAAGTCAAACTTTATTCCACTCATTCACAATAACTCTCAACAGTGTTCAGTTGTAACACATAAAATCGGTTCAAAGTCAGTAAGCACAACCAGAATTAATACGTCAGGCGCACCGGATTATAAGGCTCACTGTCAATTTTTGATCAAATTAAAGGATTTTAAGAGTGCCTTATAGTCTGAAAAATACGGTAGTCAATATCAAACTTCAATGTGTTTCTATATCTTGTTAGTTTACACTTCCCCCTGTTGTTTTTTCTGTTCATGTGCTTCTTTTTCTTTTTCCCTGCAGCATACGAGTGGCATGGCCATGAAAAGCAGCTGCAGCCAGTGAGCGTGGAGGTCGAAAAGAGGCGGCTGCAGGTCTTTGACAGATCTGGGCCTTCTCACCGCTGCCTGAATCTGGGCAATCAGGACTACATAGATGTCCTTCTCTCCAACGACCGTTACCATAAAGCTCTGCTCCTCAAAGTACCAAAAGAGTACGACCTGGTTAGTATTGTAGCAGCTGATTGCTTAAAAATTCACATTCAGCCTGCAAGAAAAGAGGGAACGGACATTTTACTGCACATTGTGTAAGAACTTGTATTAACTTTTAGGATTCTTTGTGCTCATCCAGTTTTTACCTTAAATTAAAGTTTTCTGTGCTTTTATTTTACAGTTCACTGGAGTAAGCATGACTCTGCAGATACACCTGATCTCCATCACTTTTATGCTCCTCCAGTCTTGCTTATCGTTTTCCCTGTTTGCCCATTCAGGTTCTGTTTTTTGATGACGTGAGCAAACGCTCCGAGTTCATCAGGCACTTGCGCTTGGAGGTGGCAGAAATCAGGCAGGAGATTAGAGTGAAGGAGATGAGTGAGAAGGAACTGCTGAAGGAGGCTCTTACCAAACAGGAACGGGCTCAGATTGTGGAAACTTTCATTCGACACGCTTTCTCAAAGGTACAATCAGCTTTGGGTCCTTTACCTCATCCTCTCCTCTCGTACAGCAGGAGCTACTTCACACTTAGCCACAAAATGTCGTCAGTTCTTGTTTGAGGTCAGATGAGGGCTGACCTCAGGCCAGAAGAACTAATTGTTGGCTGGTGTGGACAGTGTCCTCATGTGTAATAACATGTTCATCTGACGTTAAAGATATTAGCCTCTGGTCATAAATAATAACACCGTTCCTCACTGTCCTGCTGGTGCACAGGTCTTGGAAATAGAGAAGTGTGACGCCGGAGATATGAGCGGCGTTTCTCGCATGCGAGCCCGAGAGGTCCTTCAGTGCGAGCTGACGGCGTCAGAGTTTGCTGACGCACTCTGCCTGAAGGCCGACTCCTTGTTTGTGGACTCCATGTTCACGCTGGCTGATAAAGATGGAAACGGTTACCTCTCCTTCCAAGAGTTCCTTGATGTCATAGTTATCTTTATGAAAGGTGAAATTATTCCTTTTAATATCAACATCCAAACAACACATTATTGTCGATTCGACCATTTTTGTGCCAGGTTTGTGTCTTATATGGTAAAAATTTAACCATGTGCATTTATTTTTAACAGAAATATGTATGATTTAGACAATGGACAAAAACGTTCTTTAAATTTTTTTAAATGTGAGGTCGTTTTGGTTGGTTATCACATTATTGGACGGCCTCTTTGAGAATCTCTTAAGGCTGCATAGATTTATCCAGCTAGTTTTATGAAATGTAGATGTGATTTGCTCATATGACATCAGCCAAGATGTGTGTTTGATCACAGGGTCTCCAGAGGAAAAGTCCAAACTGATGTTTTCCATGAATGACATCGGTGGAACTGGTTACTTATCCAAAGACGAATTTGCCAGAATGCTCAGGTTTCAGTAGCATTTACCTTTCAGTCATTGCAGCTGCACAAAGTTTTCTCTGTCGGATCTTCTTCACTCTTTTGATTGACTGCAGGTCTTTCATTGAACTCTCCAACGGAGCACTGTCAAAGAAGCAGGCAGAGGATGGCATCAAGGCCATGATGCAGGCCGCAGGCTTTGATGACAGGGAGAAAATCTCATGGGCGGACTTCCACTTCCTCTTGAAGGATCATGAGAAGGAGCTGCAGTTTGCTCAGCTCAATGTTAAAGGTTGAAGAAAGTTCAAGTTGGTGTTTGTTCTTTCCTTACCCTGACTTTGGTTATTCATGTGTGTGTGTGTGGGTGTGTGTGTGTGTGTGTGCATGCGTGCGTGCGTGCGTGCGTGTGTGTGTGTGTGTGCAGGGGTGGAGAAACAGGAAAAGAAACGTCTAAGTCAATACCAACGTGTGTCTTTCATCTGCCCAGCAAACAGGTAAGAAAACAACCTAAAGACATAAAACAAAACTAGAAAATAAAGAATAAGAGATTGTTCTTCATGAAAATTGTTTTTTTTTTTACTTCTGTCCGCAGCACCAACAAAACAGATGGACTGGAGTTACGCAGACGGAAAAAGTATGCCTCTTTTTTAATTGTTTTTTTTAATTTATTTGCTTTTCACAAATTACTCCTTCCATCCATTATCTTCCACTTGATCCAAAGTCAGGTCTCAGGGGCAGCAGCTTGAGCAAGGAGGTCCAGACATCTCTTCCAGCTCTTCTGGGAGGACTCCAAGGCGTTCCCTGACCAACAGAGAGACATAGTCTCTCCAGCATGTCCTGGCTCTTCCTCAGGGTCTTCTTCCAATCAGACATGCCTGAGGCACCTCCCTACGGAGGCACCCAGGGAGCATCCTTACCAGATGCCTGAACCACCTCAACTGGCTCCTCTTGATGTGGAGGAGCAGCGGTTCTGCTCTGAGTCTCTCACGGATAACTGAACTTCTCACCCTGTCTCTAAGGGGGAGTCCAGCTACCCTGCAGAGAAAACTCATTTCAACCGCCTGTATCCACAGTCTCATTCTTTCGGTCTCTACCCAGAGCTCGTGAATGTAGACTGACCAGTAAACAGAGAGCTTTGCTTTACAGCTCAGCTCCCTCTTCACCACAATGGACCGGGACAGAGTCCGCAATACTGCAGATGCTGCACTAATCCATCTGTCAGTCTCACGCTCCATTCTTCCCTCACTCGTGAACAAAACCCAGAGATACTTGAATTCCTCCACTTGAGGCAGAACCTCACCCTCAACCTGAAGAGAACAGTCCACCCTTTTCCAGTTGAGGACCATGGCCTCAGATCTGGAGGTGCTGATTCTCATCCCAGCTGCTTCACAGTCGGCTGTGAACTGCTCCAGGGAGAGCTGAAGATCACGGCACGATGACGCCAGCAGGAACACATCATCTGCAAAGAGCAGAGATGGAATCCTGAGGCCACTGAACCAGAATCCCACTGGCTGCACCGAGAAATTCTGTCCATAAAAGTTATGAACAGAATCGGTGACAACGGGCAGCCCTGGTGGAGTCCACCTCCCACCCTGAAGGGGTCCGACTTACTGCCGGCAATGTGAATCAAACTCTCACACAGCTTGTATAGGGACGAATTACTCTCTAAATTTAAATGAAGAATAGTACAAGTTATATAAGTCACAACTTAAATGTGACCTAAATGAGTAAATATTTATATTTTTACAGCAGCAACAATATGTGTTTTTCACTGTTTTTAAAATATATCTTAAATTTTTTACATTTATTTTAATTGTATTTCACTTGGATTAGTTTTGTTTAGAACAGATTACAGATTATAGTTGTTTAAAAAGTCAAGCTTGGTGGTGATTTTCTTATAGCGATGAGTCAGCATTATTACAGTTTTTGTGTAATTTCTTCCAAATATCAAACCTTTTCTGCATACTTTGTGCTTTTTCACCTATTTTTATATTTAAAAAAAAAAAAAGTTAAACGTATCAGTAACAGTGTTATGACTTCTGATTTTTTAAAAGTTTTATACTTTTCAAAATATGCAACTGAATCAAACTCTCCATAGAAATAAATTGAGAAATACATGGTAACTTTAGCACGTTTCACTAATTCTGGCTAAAGTTTTCTTCTTTTTATTAGTGGCATTGCACATTTTATCTGTGGTTTTGCTTACTCTATCTGTTGCATCAGGGTTTTTTTTAGCGTTTTTGTTTTTTAGATTTTAGCTACTGTTTTGCTCATTTTATCTTAACATCTGTTCTGTTTATTTTTTAGCTTCTGTTCAGCTGCCTTTAGGTTTTAGCTTGTAGCATTTAGCTTTTAGCTTGTGATCTGCTCATTTTAGCATTTGTCCTGCTTGCTTCAACCTTGATTTTTCATTTTAGCTTATTCAGAAATGTCAGTAAAGTCATTTAGCATGCAGCATTCACACTGCATGTTTGCAGAAATTTTTATTTTCCTCATGTATTTTACTGTTTATGGTTGTTGCAGTGTCTTTTTCTGGTCTTGATCTAAATATACTACAGACAGACAGTGGAGCAATAGAAACTTTGCTGCAGAATAAAACCTCACAGATTTACTCATTCTCAGGTTAAGCGTCAAGACCCCAAATGTCTATGTGAAGCCGAAGCGTGACCAGTACGTCAGGAACCCCATCCGGCAGAAAGTCCAGCAGTTCAAGCGCTTCGTCGAGAATTACCGCCGTCACATTATGAGCTTCATCGTCGTCTACGGCATCACAGCTGGTGTGATCATCGAGAGGTGTTACTGTGAGTGGAACACCTTTTCTCCTGTTGATGGATCATATAGCATTGTCATGGTCTTACTGGATGTGTTCAGACTACGCCGTGCAGGCGGAGGCCACAGGTATGCCTGAGACATCAGTGGTGGGGATCATCGTTGCTCGTGGCTCGGCGGCTGGCGTCTCCTTCCTGTTTCCCTACATTCTTCTCACCGTGTGCCGCAACCTGATCACGCTGTGTCGAGAGACCTTTCTCAATCGATACATCCCCTTCGATGCTGCCATCGACTTCCATCGCTTCATGGCGATGACCGCCATCGTCCTCTCAGGTCTGTGTGGAGCATTTCAATGAGACAGTAGTCCCTTGATTATTGCGGTGGGTTACGTTCTGGACACCCCCGCGATAAGTGAAAAACCACGAAGTAGCAACGTTATATTTATTTTAGTACTTATATATATTTTCAGGCTTTATAAACCCTTCCCACACCCTTGCAATGTTCTAAACACTTAAACCTACATCATTTTAACAACATATACAATATATGTACAATATATGTAGCTACTGCAAAATTTTAAATGGATACTCTCCAGGCTTGGTCCGGTTCTGGTCGAGTTCTGATGGACTCTCTGCATCCGTTGAGCACCAGACTCTTTTGAAGAGAGCCGGACCTTCAGAGAGCTGTCACAAAACCACGCAATGGTCCAGATAGAGTCCTAGATAGAGATAAAGACCTCCAAGCAAATTCTCCCCACTCAAGAGGCTTCATGGGCGGGCAAGCTCCGCTTTGTAGCTTTGTAGCTCCGATGAGGCTGGAAGTAGTTCTGGTCCAGTTCTGGTCCGGTTCTGGTCGGCTCTGCATCCACTCACCGCTGAAATGAATATGGACCGAACTTTTTAGTCAGGTTCTGATCGGATCAGAATGTTCTCTCCATTTTTGGCAGAAAGCAGCGTCTGGAACACTGTTGGCTTCTGGGTAATGTAGTTCTTTTCGACTGGCAATACAGTGCAGGCTTATTGAAAGATAATACAAAATTGCGGCACCTGTCCGAAGTATATTTTTTTCCCGTTAGCTTTTTATCCCATATTGTCCCAATCACGTGAGTAATATTAAAGTTGACAATCATTGAAAAACCACGAAAGTCGAACCGCGAAGTAGTGAGGGACTACAGTATTTTATTGGATTTTTACAAAGTATAGCTAGAAGGTATGAAACAACATCAATTTATAACATCCAAAATATTACTCTTAAAATCCAAAAAATGTTTTTTAAAAGTTGCATTGTAACTGTAACAGCTGTAGCTGAGTGGTTAGAGCAGTCGTCCTCCAATGCGAGAGTTGGGGGTTCGACTCCACCAGCAGTCACATGCCGAAGTGTCCCTGGGCAAGACACTGAACCCTTCATTGCCTCTGATGTATGTCCCCTCAGTGCATTAATGTGAGCTAAAGCTCTGATTAGTCTCTTTAGAATTATTTGTTCAATTAGCTTTGTAGAGATCTAGTATAGAGCTGTATGAATGGGTTAATGAGGCTCTGATTGTAGTGTAAAGTGCTTTGAGTATCTTGAAATAAGATAGAAAGGTGCTATATAAGTACAGTCCATTTATAATTGAGCATTGCAAAGGAACATGCACACTTTTCTTTAAAAAACTTTTTTTTGTAATTTTTACAACATTTTGTTTAATCAACAACATGTTGTGTCTTATTGTGGTTTGATATGTTGGTACCAGCAGTGAAACGTGTTCCTGCTCTTCAGAGCTCAGCCGTTTATCCTGTCTGGGCATATTTAATCTTTTCTAATTTTAAATGAAGACTTCAGCCATCTGGCATGACAAAGGAGGTTTAAGGTTTTTTTACTTAAACAGGATAAGATGCTGCACTGAGAAGCAAGAAGAGGGACGCTTCATTTTAAAGATAAAACTGCTGAGCTGCTTGTTTTCGCAGGCTCTTCTTGTTTATGTTTGTTTTGTTGGTTGTGATCTCGTTGCAGTTGTTCACAGTTTGGGCCACGTGGTAAACGTCTACGTGTTTTCCGTCAGCGACCTCAGCATCCTTTCTTGCCTGTTTCCCAAAGTCATAGCCAACAATGGGTAATACTTAACATTTCACAAGAGAAATGGTAGGTGGCCCTGAGGTGTAAATGAACAACATTTTTTTTTTAAAAGAAAAGAAAAATAGACAACAAAAATACAACATCATTTGAAAGAAGGGAATTAAATTAAGCCAAAGCAGAAGTGGTATTTTGTTTTTATTTTTTAATTTTTTAATTTTTTATTAATGTAGAATGAACATACTCATGATATATTCATAAATTAAACGGATTCTTTCATTTTTCTGGACTGTATAATGTCGTGCATTGAATTTAATAAAATGTATCGTGAGACGTTAATTTTCTTTGACCCATCAAATGAATGCGTCATTTATTTACAGAATCAAAGTTTAACATCACACATTTACATTAATTTGGCAAAATGATTTCAACAACAACATGGCTAATTTTGCAAGCTGTACAATTTGATTAACCATACGGCGATGGTTGAAAACCTCAAGCTTCACCACAGACATTTCTGGAAATATCTGGAATGATTTCTAGCAGATAGAAGAATTTTAAAGATGGAAAGATGAAGTTTAGAGGGAGGGAGATGAAAAGATGGATGAGGGAAATGTGTGTCGGCATCAGAACGGCACTCTCCAGTGAGTTCCCAGCTTCTTCCCCAGTACACTTAGGTGGTATAAATCAACTCTTTTACCTGGAGGAGGTGATTCCACTGGTACGGAGTTCCATTTAACGCACCCTTTCAGCGTCTCCGTAGGAACAGCTGTGAATCGTCCGAAGTAGTGACGGTATTCCGTCCGACACAGGTTCACCTCACGAGTGGACTTCACATGAGTGGAGTCCTTCAGCAGTTCCACTCAGAGGTGGAAGATGTCATAATCCCACAAGACTCGGAAGAGCTTTGGATCATGTTGGACTTCTGTTCTCCCAAACGACTGGAGCTGCAAACTCTCCACCCGACCCGTTTGAACTAGGAAGTACCGACATTTAAAGAGCTCTATTTCCGGTTCATTTGGGAGTTTCCTGATTGGTCGTTTCGACCAGACAGGGGTGTGTTTTTGTGACGTAAGAGGTCACTAGGAGTCAGAAAAACAGCAAGAATGTTATGGAACAGATTGAAAATGTTTTTCAGACAGACGAGAGAAATATTTAGACGAGTTGGGGGAAAACAGGTGCCAGCCTCTATATTTATGTCTGAGAGGATTTTAAAAACATGACAGTTCGTTCCAACAACTTGTTTTGCGTTTGACTCCAACCTTGGACCACTTACACTGCTCATTCAAAGACAGAAAATCAGAAAATGCATAATTACTCTGTAACAGACATCAACATGGTTTCCACTTTGCATGAGGATTAAAAATCATTATTACTGTTTCACAGTTAATTAAAAATGATTAGTTCACTGCAACATCTAAAAATGGTTTGAACTAAAAACACTTTGATTATCAAACACTTGTAAAATAGTAATGATAATAGAAAACAGTGTTCTTTCACTTGATCAATTCAAGAAAGAAAGTCTCAGGATGGGTCAACCTGTATTTCTGGATTCAAATCAATTAAATGACAGTTTCTGTCCCATAAGGTCCTTAAGGTCAGGATTTGACCTCAGGCTTAGTACACTACATTAACAACATAAAACAACAGAACAATGTACTGTAACAAGTTCAGTAACATATAATGTATTTTTTAATCCCTCATGAAAATGAATAATGAATTAAGTCGGGGTTTTTTTTTATTTTGGATTCTCAATGAAAAAACACTGAACAAATAGTGCATGGACTCCACACCCTTCATGAGAGTTTGTATTTGTATCTTGTTACTGTACATTGTTCTGTTGTTCTATGTTGGAAAAAAATGTTTGGCTTAATTTAATTCAGTTTTCAAATGTGATTCCGGCCACTTCCACTTCAGCCACTTCCGCTTCGACCACTTCCACTTTGGCCACTTCCACTTTGGCCACTTCTGCTTTGGCTTAATGTAATTCTTTTTTTTTTTTCAAATGTAATTCCCTTTTTTCAAATGTGATTCCGGCCACTTCCACTTTGGCCACTTCCGCTTTGGCCACTTCCGATTTGGCTTAATGTAATTCCGTTTTTTCAAATGTGATTCTGGCCACTTCCGCTTCGGCCACTTCCGATTTGGCCACTTGCGCTTTGGCTTAATGTAATTCCATTTTTTTTTCCAAATGTAATTCCATATTTTCAAATGTGATTCCGGCCACTTCCGCTTCGACCACTTCCACTTTGGCCACCTCCGTTTTGGCTTAATGTAATTCCATTTTTTCAAATGTTGTTGTGTTTTTGTTGTGTTGTTGCAAATTTAATTTTGTTTTTTGAAATGTACTTCTGTTTTTTTCAAATGTTGTTCATTTACACCTCAGGGGCACTGTAGAAATGTGTAAATGCTACAAGGTTATATCAAGTTAGTTACCGTTTATGTTTTCTTTTAGGGCTGAAGTTCCTCCTAAGTGGTACTGGTGGTTCTTTCAGACTGTCCCAGGTAAAACATGAAACATGTTTCTAGATTTTAAAACTTTAACTGAACTAAAGTGCCTCTTATGTTACATTGTAATGTTCTTTTATTCCCTCTTTTCTTCTTCTAGGAGTTACTGGCATCTTACTTTTATTTACATTTGCGTTCATGTATGTTTTTGCCTCTCGGTATTTCCGTCGGATCAGTTTTCGTGGGTTTTGGATCACTCATTATCTCTATGTTGTTGTGTACGTTCTGGTAGGTACTTCCTGTCGTTAGCACCCTTACAGTGAGGCTGATTTATGGCAGTGTGATACTAGCTTCATGTTTATCCTACAGACAGTTATACATGGCAGCTTTGCTCTGCTCCAAGAGCCCCGTTTCCACATCTACCTGATCCCTCCGGCCTTGCTCTTCCTGCTGGACAAACTGATCAGCCTAAGCAGGAAGAAGCTGGAGATCCCTGTTGTCAGGGCTGAGCTTTTGCCTTCAGGTGACACATGAACTTAAATATGTTTGTATTTATTTTCTCTGTGGGTTCTTTGATTTAACTGAGCTAATGCTTCTGGCTGTCCTGCCTGTAGGAGTGACCCACCTGGAATTCAAGCGACCACAGGGCTTTGTGTACCGTTCAGGCCAGTGGGTTCGGATCGCGTGCCTGATGTTGGACACAGATGAGTACCACCCGTTCACACTCACATCAGCACCGCATGAGGAGACCCTGAGCCTGCACATCCGAGCTGTGGGACCCTGGACCAGCCGACTCCGAGAGCTTTACGCTGAAGAAAACTACCTGGAGTTTGGAGCCTATCCAAAGGTCAGCCATCAGGTTTACACAGAGAAGGTCTCAGTCGTTCTCCTTGACTTCAGTAGCACTCATGTTTCATTTCTTCTGAAGCTCTACTTGGATGGCCCGTTTGGTGAGGGCCACCAGGAGTGGAATGACTTTGAAGTGTCTGTTCTGGTGGGGGGAGGAATAGGTGTCACACCATTTGCCTCCATCCTGAAAGACCTGGTCTTCAAGTCCTCCATCAAGTCCAAGATTCTGTGTAAAAAAGTGTGTCTCGAAATCAAATCTCCTTGACTGAGTTTGCCTTGAAGTGCTCCTCCTAGCATTTATGTCGTGTGCAGGTGTATTTCATTTGGGTGACCCGGACACAGCGTCAGTTTGAGTGGGTTTCTGACATCATCAGGGAGGTGGAGGAGATGGACACAGAGGAGCTGGTCTCAGTTCATACTTACATCACTCAAGTGGCTGAAAAGTTTGACCTGCGCACGACCATGCTGGTAAGATCACTGAAACACAAAGCATCACATGAAGCAGAGACAGGACAGAAACCATGCTGAATGTTTATCTAACTCTTTTTTTTAGCAGTAACACTAAAAATAATATTTTTCAACATTGTGATAAGACTCATCATGTTGCACCTCAGGACTCCCTCAATCTTAAAGACTTATCTAAAGATATTTACAGAATTTAAAAGCACACAAACATTCAGACAAACACTGGAGTCACCTACAGTGTTGGACATCCTCTCAGCAGGATAGAAGTGGACAAAATGTTTCTAAAAGGTAGAACAAAAAGTCTGTGTTTGTTCAGTTTTTGAATTCCTCAGATACCAGTCAGACGGGAAGCAAACTGAAAAACCTCTGAAGCTACGAGATCAAAAGTTTCTATAACTTACATTATTGTGAAGACTGAAACACTTAGCTAACTTCTTGGCTGCTCCACAGCCAAGAGTAGCATAAACACACAAAAAGAGGCTGGTACTTGTTCAGTTTTGTTTATTATTAGTTGTTCTTAAAGTGCATTGATGAGTTTTACAAAAAGAAAAAAGAAATCTCTCAAAATAGAAGTTTAGTTGTGTTCTGTTGTCAGATTGTTTAGTAAAGTAAAACACCGTGGGATGTTTTGTAAGATTCATGAAACTTTAGTATGAACTAGCTCAGGGGTGCCCAATACGTTGATCGCAAAGGTATTATGGGTAGATTGCATGGCATTGAAAAAATAGATGTCGTCAGCCTATCATCCATCTTTGAAATGTGTCACTTGATTGACAGACAGGGCAGCCAGTCTGAGGCTTTGTTTATACGACATGAAACGTTCGGTCGTTAATTTATAGACAACAGCTTCGTTCTCTCTGAGGTTTCTGAATCCAGGTCTCAGAGTGGAGATTTTCAGGGGAAACCCCAACGAAGGTGTGAAATGCTCCACTAGGGTAAAGTGGCACATGTGCACTACCGGCGGCTGCAGTCCACATTTTTCTGCACTAACGACAATTATAATAAATGTAACAACAGTTATAATAAATGTAACAACAGTTATAATAAATGTAACAACAGTTATAACAAATG